ATATTGAAGGAAGTTAATAAATTTAACTTATAAACATACTTTTTTACTTTACTTACATTATTATTGCTTTTCTGTGTTAGTGCAGCAAATGTAACAGTTAAATTCATTCATGTCAAATTTATTTCACTTGTAAAAGTAAGAAATTACTATTTTTCCTGACAATCGGATTAATTCAAATATGCACGAGAGGTGCTTGTTTGAATTGAACTTCAAGTTATGGCTGAGTTGCTATAGGACAAATTGCAAATTTCAATATTACGTAACTACTTCCCATATGCGAAAAAGTATTTGCTGTTGCACCGCTAGTTGTTATAAAAAGAAGTAAGACCATTGATCGTACAGATGTGTGCTTCATCAACTGTGGTGTGGAGATTGATGGAAAGATATTCCACCATGGTGTGGAGAAACCACCGCTTGCTTTTAACTAGATTTTCTTTCCGTTAATCACAGCATCCAAGTGTAGCGTCACGGCTTGGCAGCAGCCGAGTGCAAGGTAGAGGGCTGGGGGATCTAAAGATAGACGCCCAAACAAAGACGGGACTTTCCCGACAGGAAATGGTCCGTGGGCCAGGCAGCACCAGGGAAAGGCTTTCCACCGCGCGGGGGTGGGGAGTAGTGACGTAGGAGGTCAGGTGACCTGGACCTATAAAGACGCCGTGGCGAGACGGCGCGGGTGGGTAACGATTTTGGTTTCCTCGTGGCTAGACCACAAAAACTTTGTCCGCCCAGGCTGGTGCGGAGTGCCGAGGGCACGTGGGTGTTCGACGAGTTCGGACAGGGTGATGTGTTCTTCAAACACATTCGGGCAGATCGTCAATCTGCCGGGGCACACCAGGTGCCTATCTGCGACGCGGCCTTGCAGGCTGGTCGTAGGCGTCGCCGCAAGGCGCACGTAGGGAGAGGAGGGCTGCAGTGGTAGCTCTGGCAAACCGCCTTAGAGTGAGGGATGTAAATATGTACAGTGTGTAAATAAAACTTGTATATACTCACTCGTGTCTGTTTCCTTGTGGTGTAGATCCCTACACACGACGTTACACAAGCATGGTTTTAGAAGATTCAGACCGTCGCACATATCATCATCATCATCATCATCATCATCATCAAGTAGTGATGATAAGTCCATGGCCATGGTGGTATTATATGAGTGTTCGTTTATACGAGTATATTATTCGTACTTTAGTGGTAAATCTCCGCAATATCAACATTTAGCATTCAAAAATGTCAGAAATTGATTATGGCATTTTTTTAAAAATTGTGTTGCGTGTGCAGATAAAACAACGCGTCTCCAAGCCCCAGGGGGCGTTGAGCGCTTTGCGCTTTCGGAGTAATTCTCCATTAATTCATTTCATGTCATGTCACGTCTCGTCGCAGTCAGTTGTCAAGAGGACAGCCAAGTAGCATTTCCGCGTACGCGCCTCCTACTACACGCCCCTGCGTCACTACTCAGCGGACAGAATTGGGAAGGAATTAGGATAGGGATAGGGTTTAGGTCATACACTTCACAGGGCTTGGACTAGCCCCTGTGAAGCACTCAAACTCGTTTTGTCGTCACAAATTTCACATGTTTAGGGTGTATGTCTTTTAACGCTTTGGTAAATTATAATTAACATCTAAAATCTTTGTGGGAAGAAAAAGATTGAAGTTTTACCGCCCTGTATTATGTGCAATGGGAATATATGCATTAAATATTAAATATGCAATAAATGTTTTTATTTAGATATATTCATATTCGAATTTTATGTAATGATCTTAGCGGTCATATTTATATATAATTTGATGATACTTTCATTTATCAGAAATATATTTTTGCCTTTGTTCTCTTGTCTCTTTATGATTTTCTCTTCGCATCCTCATTGAACTTTTAGGATCTCCCTTTCAACCACTTTTAATCAAAATTGATCGCAATGTAATATATCTTTAGTCAATTATTAAAATTAAAATATTGTACTAAAATATCTCTTCTTTGTGGATGAGTTCTTTTCTTTTCTCTTCGATTTCTTCTATTTCTTTGTTTTATTAGACAGGTGTAATTGGATTACCTCTTTGCTTTTCTGTATCATTTCTATCTTTCCATTATCATAATACCTCTAAGAATAACCAATAAGAAGTCTTCATATTGCACCGTAAATGCGGAAAGTTGTAGCTTGAATGATATAGTGTGAATCTAAAAGGTATTCATGTAACTATTTATTGGTGACCAAGCGTCCTCCTTTAGGGAGGACAGTTCTCCTTTTGTAGGTCCTGTCCTTCGTTAAAAAGTGTCCAGATATACTCTCAAAAAAATTCACAATCATTGTTGTGAATGTTTTTTTTTATTCTTGGCGTTTTCCCAAACTAGTCCCAGCAACTGTTTGTAAATATTTCCTGAACACGCATGATCTTATTCCAAAATTTCCAATATGATAGAAAATACATTAGCAAACATATACTTTCAATGAAAAAATACTCGTTTAATTAAATAATTAAAAGCAGCTATTAGAATAATTATGGTACTTTTGTTTGAATTAATCAAATGTTTCATTTATTTATGTTGTACTTTTTTTTACTTTCTCGTACTTACTAATGTAAGAAGAGAAAGTATGTATCTCAATCGTGCGCTGGCACATTTTCGACACAAAAACTTCTATTGCCGGGCCCTAATTACGAAAAAGTGGATAAATCCAGTTGCTATATATAAAAAATGTCTCTAACACATGATGTAACCTGAATTCTTGTTTTGTGCATCCTTCATACAGAAAAATCGATTTACGGCAAAACGTCTGACTTTTCGTCCGTCTGTGCAAACCCCTAGCGCACAAACCGTACAACTGCTTTTCTCCAAAATTGATATTCCTCAATCGTTCTGCTTGATGTCGTGGACCCCGCAATTTGAAACCGATATTTTCATTTTGGGAGTACTTTATATGAAGCTCCCAGATATTTTTAAAAAAATGGCTCAATTTTTTAAAATTAAAAGTTGTTGTTGAATACTGAGAAGGACATTTAAGAGAACAGTGCATGTCACATTTTCGCCCGATTTTTCGAAAATTTCAAAAAAAATAAAAAATAAAAAATAAATTAAAACTACATAATTAAAGATAGAGCTTTTTGCCTCAGACAAAGTATGTTGTACAAAATTAGCTCTTTAAAAAAGGCCTGACGTATAAGTTTAAGAGCCTTTAAATCAAGCCCTATCAACAGCTTTATTGTAGAAGCAGGACTACTCCCCTTAGACTTACAGCGGGAACAACTATGTTTAAAAAATGATTACTCAACTTTAATTTTTCAACTAATCCGACCTTCAAATATATCTTCAGCTCTTTTAAAACAGATTACCATTCAATCCATGTGAAATATCCAAAACCACTTTGAGAAAGAATCCCAATTTATCAAGATGAATTTAATATTGAAACTCGTCACATTCTATAGAGAAGCATTCACCCCATTCCTTTTTTTGGCAATCCTTTAAACCTGAAGTTAATACAATGACTACACAGATTACAAAATCCTTAATCTCTCCAAAAATAGTTTAATCGGATCTGAATTATCTTTATGAAGACTATCATGATTTAGAAAAAGTTTATACAGATGGATCAAAATATGGAAATAAAGTTGGTTGTGCAATTGTATCTACAACCCCACTCAATACCTTTAAATTCGGGTTACCAGAATACTTTTCTAGCTTCTCTTGTGAAGCCTGGGCCACCCTGAAAGCCATTTAATTAGTCTCTCAAAACGTAAAAAACCGCAAAATAGTGATTCACTCAGATTCTATGGCTACCATGAATGCAATATTCAAGAGATTTTCTAAAAATCCCATAATTCAAAGAATCCAAGAACAGTTATTTACACAAGAAAACAACGGAATCTTCATCTCTATTGTTTGGATTCCAGCACATAAAGGTATAGAAGTGAATGAAAAGGCAGATAAACCGGCTAAAGAAGCAACTTACAAACAACAGACAAGAGTGTGAAGGGAGTTCTCTCCGATGTCAAACTATGTATTAAAAATGTAGTTAAGAAACCGTTTAATGAAAAATGGCTGACTACGTTCTCCAAACTTCACCTCGGAAGGAAATCTGTTATTGAACCCGCCCTCCCGAAACTCCAACTCACTAGATTCCAACAAGTCCGAATTTCCAGACTACGTATTTGCCACTTTAATTTCTCAGACATTCACCTAATAACAAAAGCTGACCCTTTACCCTGTCCTAAATGTGGATCCCTAGTATCTACATCCCATATTATTCTGGAGTGCCCTGAAATAGCCCGTATAAGACAGTTCTTAAATGTAAAAGACTATATAATTCCTTCTCCTCCTCCAAAGAATATATAAAAGTCTTACAACTTTTAAAAGCATCAAAAATTAATAGCTTAATATAAACACCCACCTTTACCTATATCTCATATACAATAATCCTTCAAACATGTTGTCAATATCAAAACTTATGTAATGTAAATAAATAAATATGTGTACCCATCCCAATTATGTAAGTACCCACAATATTAATACATATTGACCATTTATATGCTTGTATGAATTGTATGTAATTGTATAATGGCATAACTGTAAAAAATGTATATTCTTGTGTAAATTATAAATTGGTTCTTGTGGTCGCTTATGACCCAGTTGTTTAAAAGCGACCTTAAATAAATAAACCAAACAAAAGGCCATGTACAATTTTTTGAAAAAAAATTTTTTTGCATAGTTTGCCCTTGAAAATATCGAAATTTTTTCACACGAACCCCTCCAAATGTTTTCTTTAAATTGTCTACACTTATTTAATAAGGAACGGTAAAAATATGGTGCTAGTCCCATTTTCAGGTATCGCTTTTTTTTCGAAAATTGCAACAAAAAAATTCAATATCACTACTAAAATTGAAGATTTTTACCTCAAACAAAGTCTGTTAGACTAATTTTGCTCTTTAAAAAAGGTCGTGTACGATTTTTTTTGTAAAACTTCTCCATGTCTCCATGTCTACGAATATTAATTATCGTTATTTTCAGTTAGCAGGTTTAGGTTTATTGGTGATTGGAATATTGCTGGAAAAACAAGTCAACGAATATGATGAATTCTTAAATGGAAAATTTCATGCACCACCGATCATTCTCATTGTTGTTGGGAGTTTAATTTTTATTGTGGCATTTTTCGGATGCTGTGGAGCTATTCGAGAAAGTCATTGTATGCTTATTATGGTAAAGTATGAAGGAAACAAATATTATGTTCAATACGTTTATAAAATGTATCGTAATTGTCATTCTTTGTATTTCTTGAATTTTTTTCCAGTATGTCATTCTAGTGCTGACAGTTTTCATCCTTCAAGTAGTTGTAGCAGGATTGGCATTTGCATATAGGGATGACACGAAAGATGTTATTGACTCGAAACTTAAGAATTATGTATATAATTACGGAAATAACAAGGCAATTGTGGATTCTATACAGACAAACGTAAGTATGTGATATGTTAACCTTAAAAAGTATGTAGCATTATAAATGTAAATTTACAAAAAAAATATCTTTACAGCTTAAATGTTGTGGTTACGATGGTACTGGGGACTATACATCACAATCTATAAGCATACCTTCGAGTTGCTGTCCTAAATTACCCACTACCTGTGCACGAAAAGAAGCATACGATGAAGGATGTAAAGACGCTCTGGAGGATTTTATTGAAAGTCAAGGAAATATCATCGGCGGGGTAGCTATAGGAATTGCTGTTATCGAGGTAAATGAAATAAAAATCTACTGAAAAATCTGAACATGAAAAGCTTAAACCATCAATCGACTAATCGCTGATTTTCAATTTATCGCGCTTACGTGGTATGAAGAGAGTGTTATTGTACGAGTAATCATGTGCCGTAAGTGTCGACACAAAAACTCTCTCTCTCTCTCTCTCTCTCTCTATATATATATATATATATATATATTTATATATAAATATATATATATATATATATATATATATATAGTAAGTCAGAGTATTTCAAAATGGGAGCAAGGCAGAGATAGGTTGGGCAAAACTGAGCGGGGATGCAATTGAAGATACATGTCGGTTCCGCGGCAGGGCGGATATAGATGGAATACCTCTTCCTGTCTAATAAATTATTGTGATAAATACATCGGCAACGTGGGGTACTTATGCTAGTATTCAGATATGAATAATATAATGATATCGCTTCGAATGCATGCATAATGCAATATAATGGTCTTTAGTTCACGATGTCCAATTTATATGTGAAATTATCCTTGATTGCCTTTATGGTGAGCTGGAAATATAGCGAGCAGTTACAAATAATGCAAAAACGTACGTGCTATTCTAGCACTACTAGCTCTTGTTTACCAACGCCATCAGTATCGTATTGTTTATTAACTTTTAATTATTTTACTTTCTCGCACACTGCATACTAATTTATGCATTTTTCACGCTTCGTGTCTTTAAGAATTTAACAAATGGTAGTTGAAGGGACTGGCATATTTTTATATTACAATATTACATAATAACAATTCACAATATCGCGAGAAAGTACGTGCGTTGGAACACCACTAGTTTTGTCAGGTAGTGCATGTTATATTTAATTGAGAATGTCAATCATATTTGTATGATAGTTTTTTATTTCTTCGTAAACTATTTAATATAGTCATTGTTCGACAACGTGTCTAAAGATTGGGTTCTGTTCTTAACCCTACACTTAAACAACAACAATTATAAAATCATCATTAAAATGTTACGTGGTTTTCATTTCAGATTGTTGGAATTATTTTTGGTCTTTGCCTGGCCAACTCTATCAAGAATGCAGAGAGAAGAGGAAGATAATTAAGGTTTTGTTTTTTGCAAACTTAGACATACAATTTGTATTATTTACATTACTCCTGTACAATTAAATGACAATGAATTTATTTGAATTATACCTATTTTCAAAAACTGTGTCTTTTATGTACTTGGTTCATTTCAAAATGCCTTGATTCGGCTCCTTTCGTCGCCTCGTCTGTAAATATTTCATTCGTACGCCAGTCTCACTTTTTGTAGCAGTTACCTAAATAGGTCACTATTCTTACAATTTTTGCCATTTTTTACTTTCTCGCACACTACATACGTATTATAGAGAAAGTTAAGTAATGCTGCAACGGAAACAGCTGTTTTTGACAAACATTTGTATTGTTGGTCCTTGATAGCGAAAAAGTGGATAATTGTTGTTACCCTATGTAATTAATCACTTCCTGTAACATGTTGAGTAGTCCAAATCGACGTTTTGTGGTTTTTAGAATCAAAAAAGTATGTTTTTGGCTAAACGCCTCTCTGTGAACTATGCTATTGGCTATACCGTAATGAGGATTTTCTTCAAAATTGAAATTTTTTTCGTCGTCGTCCTACAACTTCAGCATTGAAGATAAAGATTTTGCGTGAAATACAAGCAATTTTAAAATTTTCTCAAAGATATCCAGTTTTTTCCTTTGTACGTGATTGATCTTGTTCTAATGCCGTCGCCTCGAGCGATTCGGAAGAAAATCAATGGATCTTTTTAAAACCAAACAAACACCCCAGCTAACCCTTCTGAGTACATTGGAAAATTGCCTTTTTCCAGCTAGATGAACAGCCGGAACCGTTTGTTGAACTGACAGACACCTCTTCACTGTACACCCACATCCCTCCACAATTAGGTATTACTCGCGCAACTTTTCTTGAACGATGACCTTGATCCCCCTCCTTTGTGCAAGAAACAGTTGAAGGCAAAAACTCGCAGCGGGAACTGATGTCAACCTTCCAAGCATTAAAACTTCGTTGGCGCGAAACAGAAGCTAGTCAAAGCCAGTTGCTTTCATAGTGCAGAACTCCTGTTCACATTTATTGCCAATATCGAAAGAAATGGCTGAGTCAGGTCCAGGTCCTTCAAGGGAGTCACCTAAAACTCCCGAAAAAGTTAAGCACAAGATGAAGTTTTGACTTTCATTTCACAGAAGTTGGCATTACGTAAAATACTCTAGTGGCCGACTTTGTAACTAATACCCCCACTCCACCCGAAATCGCCAATCCATCGTTCCAGAAAAGTTGCCCGAGTAATACACAGCTCCTATAGACCTCGGCAAAACGTTAAATAAATGTTTTCACTACACTCATAAGAAACAATCTTCATCGGTATCTAGCAACTATTAATAATACTTCTAGTTGTTGCTGCGAGAGCGAATCTGGAATGAATAATTATGCAAATAAACCTCGTCAGTCCGCGCAAACCACGGTGTACACAGTAAACATAAAAAGTATAAGATATAGAAACCTAAGGGCCGAATTCATAGTCGTCTCTTACACTGAGTGTTACCTTAAACGACGAATCGTATTCATAAACAGTCCTTGAGTGAAGTCTTAAAAGAGATCACTCATTCCTATAAGCGAGGCAGTCTGCTCCCTTAAGTGTCCCTTATGGCTCCCTCGCATCGTCAGTCGTAACCAGTTTAGGTTATACTTTTACGCGGCGATCATTGACTATTGAATTGTGTTATGGAAAAAGACTTCAAAGATTATTTTGAGTTTTATAGTCAAATCATCATGCGAAATTCAAAGAGATATTTTAGAGATATGAGCAACCTATTGGATACGTAGAATGATGAACAATTCCAAAAGCGGTTTCGTTTCAATAAAACTACTGAAGTGGATATTAAAAAAATACACGGATACAAGGATATTAATACACTTGAGCCGATGATCGACAAGGTCCCAATGACAAAAAGAGGATTGCCGATTTCCTCGTATTACAAGTTCTCGTTGCATTAAGATATTATGCAACTTCATCCTTTCAGGAATGTTTCCAAAATGTTTAACTTTTATTCATTTCCGTTTTATAAGACCTATATTTGCAATATGAATAACAAGTGAAATAATTTAAATTGTTGTAAAATGGAATTTATGTTAATACTGTATGGCGTTGACATTTTCGATTACATGAAATGTTAATAATCCATGACCAATACTGGCAGACTTATGTTCATATGTTACCATACCACCATTTTATGTTCATTTGTTATACTAGAGCATTAGTTAACATTGAGGAATCACTTGAAACTGATGTTAAGTATTGTATTACAATCCAATAATGCATATAAATATTGTGTAGAAAATGCACAAGAGATTGCAGAGATTCATTAAAATTTTGATACTTTCACGGATTATATTTGTTACCAAACATTTCTTATTATTAGGGATTTGTAATAAATGCATTTTTAAAATATTAACAAGATACCGGTGTCAAATAGTCATTGAAATTATATGAGAATCGTAGATTATATTGTTACAAATCTGCTTATTATTAGTGATTGGTAGTAATTACATTAGTAAAATATACCAACATCAAAACATCTCTTTTGTCTGTATGATGACATATTAGAGGTAGTAGAAGTATTTCGTCGTGCGTGACGTCAACTCTGCGTTGGAGTGTCCGCCCCCTGTTAAATTAAACGCTCTTTGTTCAAGATGAAGTGCATGTGTAAACTCTATTGCCAAGAACTTCGAAACAGCTGCCGCCAATGCCATGTGTCCACATTTCCCTGCATTTCCCTTCCGCTTAAGGGAACACTCATTCCGCGGTCATAAGGAACGTCTATGAAATACGAGCGCCTATAACGGCCCTTATTTTGAGAAAGCACTTATCACTTACGGGTTCGCTTATCCTAGTGACGACTATGAATTCGGCCCTAAGCCCTAAACGTGACGCCCCAAAGATGGCCACCATAACCAAGGTTTGAAATATAGGTGGCATTGGCAGTATTGATAAGTACCGAACCAGCAAAATTTTAATAGAAAGTCCAAAAATATCTCATTCTGTAGATTTGGTGTAAATTACGTTGTTTTATCGAGGCCATCGGCCACAAATTTGTAGTTTTTAGGCCCTAGAACGCTTCGCTTAGGCGTTATTTAACGACATAGCTGACTGAGTGATGCGGGTTGCATTTGACATGAATATTTAAATGCGTGTTTTTAACAAATCTTTCATATTTTTAAAGTCAAAGTGCAATTCGTCTCGTCTCCAAGAAATTCTTTCTTTAGAGACCTCATTTATAAACATCAATTGTGTGTGAGAGGCGCAAAAGGTCTGTATACTACTGAAATAATATAGGCGACTCTTTCCTTATTATGTTGTTAGTAATTTCTACAATTTATAAATAAAAAACAATTATTTTTCTTTATGTTGCTTTCATTCTTCTAATTATTGTCAAAATTCGCTTATGTTACCGATTTTGAAAAGAAATTTGCATTTTATGTTTTATTTACATTTCAGCCAAATTTGATCCATAATTTCATTTCTTGAAATTTTTGACTTCATATTTGTTTGTAATCAGCGACCTCCAAAACCCTCAAGTACCAGAAAACTTTCCAATCAAACAACTGTTTGACATTTGAACCAGCGGTTTGAGGCCTGGAATGACTGTAAGTTGTCCCAACACTTTAACACCCTATACAATTTGTCTGGCAGTATGGTGAGGGAATCGGCCGTCGTGTACTCATGACCAGGTCAGGACCAACCAGCCACCCGACAAAAATTTGTTGAACAGCTTGCCTCCACATGATGCAATTTGTCGGATTGACTGGCCGGTCGGCCCGACAAATTGGTAGGAGCATTAAACAAGACAAGCTTGTGTGAAATTATTCTTGCTTTTCTGTTCAATTTGTTACAAATACTGTAACACTTCAATATTTTCATGTTTGTTTCACTTGTAAAAGTAAGGAATGACAACTGTTCCTGACTATCGAAATAAATACATACACTACAGGCGCTTCGTTTGAATTGGACATGTTATAGCTGAGGTGTTAATTGGGCGGAAATTGCAATATTACGTCTGTTTTCAAATGCGAAAAAGTATGCGCTGTTGATGACCACTAATTTAGAATGTAACTTCTGAATGATGTGATGATATTACCACGAAGTCTACGGGAAGTCCTGTAGACTTCGAGATATTTAGATAGTATGCGTGTATGGGCGGATGAGGTAATGTCTTTTTTTTTTTAACCAACGTAACCAACGTCAACGTATCTGAAATCTAATATCAGTATAACTTCATTGTTTTTGCTGAACAACTTTAGGCTAGAGTTAGCTATTAAATAAAGACTCTTATAACTAGAGAAATGATAGTAGTTGAAATTATCGGTAATGACTTAACATATCATCTATTAGATACTAAGAACTTGGTTTAATTGTGATATTTCGTTTTCGTTTGTTTAGAACATCTCATAATAGAAGTATGGTAAGTCTGTGGTTCGCGTTGTTTTCGCCACGACGTCACAAGTGCGCACTAGTGGCTGTTTTGAAGACATTGAACATCAAAATGGACTCTGAAATATTATTTAGTGAGCGGTACGGGGCTTTAGGTCATGAAACGATATATGTCAAATCACCTGGTAGTTACAAGATGTAACCTATTTTTTAAACTGTAGAATGCTTCGTACATAATTCGTATCAAAATGGTATGTTTACTTCTTTTCAGATCAAAACGTTGTGGTATGTTTGGGGTCGTCGGACACCTTACCAAGATCATTGTTTTATGTATTTACTGCCAGTTTCAGAGAAGTATTTTTACCTCAAGGGTATCCTGAGAGTGTTAGTGCAGACTATCTAGATTATCAAATTTGGGACACAGTGCAGGTAAATGGTATGCTCCTGTCAAACATTTTCTATTCTTACTACGTTTTGATGTTTTTTTTATTGTAAACAAAACATACCGAGTAAAACCAAATATTATTTTCGATCTGTAGGCATTTTGTAGTTCAATATGTGGAGCACTAACGACTCAAGCCATAATGAAAGGTGTTGGTGTAGGTGACAATGTAGCCACTCCATTAGGAGCAGCTGTCATGTGGATTTTTAAAGATGGAACCGGAATGGTTGGACGGATTGTGTTTGCTTGGTGGAAAGGGTTTGTAAACAATCATTACTAAATTAATTTTAAATTTATTGCACAATTTCAGTGTGAAAAATATTGAAAAATTATAACTTGTCTAATAAAATGGAAGAGTGAATTTTGTTCATCGCGTGCAATATATGCCCATATTGTTGGTCATTTATTCATGAAATGCATTTGGCACCAAAACATTCAGAGTAGACACAATTAGATATGCATGTAAACCTCAAGAAAGTTCTAGTTTATTACTGGGTTGGGCCAGGTTGTATGTTTATTTCCAGTGGAGTGTAAGGCATGAATATTTTTAGTAGGTATGTTTGTATGTGGCTAAGAGTGGCAATCCACATCACCTGTCAATATAAGTTCTCATCACACAGTCAAGTTACTTGAAATTTCCATGTTGCTTTTGATTCACAAGTGGGTTCGTTTTTCAATTATTACTTGAAAGATGTGCTTTATCAGCTCATATTGAATTGTGTTTATTAATGCTTTGTTAATTTGTAAAATTTCATTATTTTATACATTTTTCTTAATTAATTTGGAATGACTTGTATTTTGAATGGCTTTCAGAACTTTCCTGGATGCGGATTGCAAAAAGTGGCGACTTTTTGCAGATTTTTTGAATGATATTGCAATGGGTATAGAGCTATTTTTGCCATATTTCATGGAATATTCCATGCAAATATTGTGCTTATCAACTTCCATGAAAGCCATTGTTGGTGTAGCAGGGGGTGCTACTAGAGCTGCCATAACTCAACATCAGGTTGAAATTTAATTTTAACATGTAATGTGATTGATTTAAACATATTATTATATATATTGAATAATGTAAATCTGATCCAGGCTTAAAATACAGACAGAATAATTTGTGTGCAATTGCTTAGTTCTTTATGCTAGTATCTTAATGTATTGTACATAGTGTTAGAATACTAAAGTAATTGGCATTATTATTTATAGAATATCAATGTTCCATTTGTAATAGCACTGGGAATATGCTTTGTTTTGTTTTGGTGTACTTCAATGGTTAGACTTAGGAATAAGTTTTCAAACTGAGTGTAGTCAGAAATCACTGAATTAAAAATACAAATTTTAATTTTGGTAATGTTAATACTTTTATTGTCCTTTTTAAGGCAAGTTTGCATATTAGCTTTGTCAATTTGATTTAACTAAAATTTCATTATGTTTTTGGAGTTCCCATTGTAGTTTGGGTCAAAAAGAGAAAGAAACTCATTCCTTAATTTTGATAATTTATTTATTTTAATAGCAATCTCTGTCATCCATATTCCAGAAACAAAAAAATTGGAGAGACCATAAATGTCTTTTAGCTTTGTTAGTCCCCAATTGTATGGGACAAATATACACTTCAACTTTTAGTGCATGGATATCAAAATAATGTGTTTGTGTGTGGGTGTAGTTTCATGGAAGCTCTTTAGCTTAATAAGGGTTTGAAATTTAGTTTTTGAACTCCTGCTATAGTTGCCTCAATTAAGACAACTATTTGCTTTTATTGAATTTACATTGCTCTGACTTCGGGGCAGGCATCTCATAGGCCTGTTGTAGCTAATTAATTTTTCTTTCTCCTCCAACTTTATTTACAAGGGAGGTATGAATAAAAAACATCAGACAGACTGAGTAACTGGTAAAACCTTTTTATTCAGTTAAAACAAAGAACAACAATTGGACTAAAAAAACCATAAAATATTTTTAAAATTTCTTGTATCTCAATTTACATCAAACATTTAGTACAGTTCTTTAATATTTTTGAAAAATTAGGTAACTTATTTTGACAGCTACTGAAGTCACTTGCTTAAAGCACCACTCAACTTGTTTCTTCTCTGTCCAATCTGCATCTGGATCTACTAAGAAAATATTAAGAAAGTCATTAATATTTAAATCTTTTAATATTTACACACCCATTAATACATTTTCTCTGCCACTTCATTTTCTGTGAATAACCAATGTCCATATACAGTGAGAGGGTATATATTGCTTGTATTTGGTTCAGAAAATATGTAAATTTTAAGGATTTAGTACAAATTACGTACTAAGTTTTTAAATCGTATTTGAAACTTTTTATTCAGTTACATTAAAAATTTCACTACTGAAATCATAATGCAAATGCATTTGGCGGATTATGTATGGATTTTGGTGAATCAAACTGATAGGGGAAGAAATTTACATAGAAATCCAACATAAACTATTTTGATATGTATTACAAGTGTGTATTCTGTCAGATACACAGAACCTTTAAAACCACTCTTTTGCACTCGGGGATTCTCAAAATGTAAAGATTTGACAAAATCTTGAAATAGATTTTTTGATCTACAACAACTTTCGCCATACAGCTCTTTAAGTATTTGAGAAAAAACATTAACCAACAAAAGAATCTTAATCTTCTCCTCTTTATGTCACATATAGTTTTTACTGTTTTTTTGACTAAAAAAAATCAAGAAGGTCAAGAAAAAACATTGTTTTGATAAATTTTCTTTTCCAATTTTTAAAAGTTTGCTAAAAGAGATGGTTGCCATAATTGCATTAGTTGTTTTGTAACCTGAAGCAACAATGTCAACATTCTCACAGTTTTTTGACACAAATGCAACTATAGCACTGCTGTCAAATCCCATCATTTATTGTAATAATTAATATTATTTTTATAGTGCTTTGGATCCTGATAAAATCACCTACTTGATAAAAAAAGCAGCTCTTAAAAATTAACCGCAGGCAAAGCATTCTTAAAATCCTTGGGAGGATGGATGCTCTTTTCTTCTTTTTTTTTTTCTTTCTTATAACTACTAGTCAGTTTTTCTTAACTGTAATTCTTGCATTGTGTAGGTGTTATTACTGAATTATTCTATAAAACAAAAATATATAGAAAATACAGCTTCCTTGAATTGTACCAAGATATCCTAACATTTTCTCATAAAATATCACCTAAGTTGTTTTTTTTATAATAACTCTGTACCAAAATAGTAAAAATTCATATTTGTTTTCCAAGAACTAAAATATATTATATTCACCCAAATTAAATTGCCTAAAGATTTTCATTAACTTATTTCATAGGCAATTCGTGACAATATGGCAGATGTATCAGCCAAAGATGGAAGCCAAGAAACATTTGTAAATTTAACTGCATCAATGCTAGGAATATTGATTCTATCGCTCTGCACTGAGGAGAGGTGAGTATTTGATAAGTCAGGTGGAAGTTCATTGTAACCAATTTTATTCTGAGAAGTAGGACAACAGCTAGATATTGAATGAGACATCACACAAAATTGAAAGGTGATATTTTGTTTGCTCTCTCTTTGATAGGTATTCCTGGGGTCTCTTCATAACTATCACGATTTTGCACTTATACGCTAATTATAAAGCTGTGAGAAGTTTGAGACTTCTCTCTCTCAATCCGGGGAGATTAATTCTTTTATTACAAACATACTTGACGAAAGGTGTTATTTCATGTCCTGAGATAATTAATAAAGAAGAATCAGTGTTTTTGGGGTCTGGTTTAACAGGTATTTAATTTACATTCAGTTTTATGCAATATTGGTTGAAATATTTTCAATTTTCACATTTCTTCTGCTTTGCAGATTTAGATTTGTGTGGGCATCATGTAATATTGGGAACATCACTGAAGAAAATCTTATCATCTGGTGTAATTTCAGCAGAAGATTTGAATTTGCTGGCAAATCTTTACAGAAAAAGAAAGTACATGTTAGTGGCTGATACAAAGAACAAGAAAATATATGTTGCATTGCAACATAAGGTGCAACCAGTGGAGATTATAGAAGCATATTTTCATGCTGTTTTATTGGGCATTTGTATTTCTCTTTTCTCAGGATCTTCTCTTGTAAGTATGTTACTGCCAAGTATACCTCCTTGGTACTGGAGGATTGAATGCAATACGCAAACTACTTGAAAGGTAGTTAAAAGGTCAGAGATTTTATAATCTCTGCCTCTTTAACTGCTGTAAATGTAGCTTGAATAGATATTTTGTCCATTTGTGTTTTTAATTTCTGAACAATTCCAGAAAACATTGCAGATGGACAAGAAAGAAGTGTCATGCCCACTTCATCATTTGGAAACCCTGATGAACAAGTACAATGCAGGGTCCAAAAAAGCGATGCGAATTCCCTTAGAAGCAGTATTGGCAACAGATGATGTGATCTCAAAAGAATTCAGTGAATTCTTTACAGCACTAAGATCAATAGGTAATTATCTTTTAAAGTTCTCAGCATTATGAGATTAAGAAAACAAAAGCAAACTATTGGGATGCTAGATTGAATATTATTTATCAGTTATTCAAACGTAGTATAAATTGGTCTAATCTTTAATTCATTGAGCCTACTCGTGTCACAGGGTTATTGGTCATGATGTGCTCTCACTTTGTCAGTTTTATTTTGCTTTCAAAACGTTCTTCACAACATTTTATCTATTCCATATCCACTTTCTTTTCATGTATGTAATGTTTTTACTTGTGTATGTCAGCCGATATTTTTGTCACTTCAGTCTGTTAAATTAAAGCCTCTTTTAAAAGAAAACCTTTTTGATGCAAACATTGATCTTGTGAGCAATGCAAACATGCATCATTGATCTTCTGATTGTATCTTGTGAGCACAGGAGCATCAAATATTCAAAAAATAGTTATGATTTGAGAATCAAATACTCAAATCATAAATTGAAGATCGAGCAAAGATAAAAAATATCATTCTGAGACATTTTGTGGTGTAATTTAAGGTTTCTCTAGTGGGTATGGTCTTAGAATTAAACTGATAAAACTAAGAATTAGACTCATTAATCTAAGAACAATTCTGAAAGTATTGATCATTATTATAAAACCTTTGTTGTTTACTCACTCCATAACATGAAGTTTGAGATCTTCCTTACCACTTGAAGGGATTTTTTCCTCTTGTGATATTTTGTAGCTAATAAATCAGTTATCATCTTTATTATATTGTAATATCATCTTTAAATTATTGTTGTGAAGACACAGTGAGAAAAAGTAATCGCTTTTATGTGCAATTTATCAAAATTTCATTGATTTATATTGAAACATCTTAACTTTTCTCCCCATTGATATAAGTTGCATTTTCCCTCCTTCCTGTTGTACATCAATTTCAATATTAGTGGCATTGACTGTCATAGATACTCGCCTAGTATATTTCAACTCCCGTAAGATAAATAATGACATTAACTGGTCACATAAACATACAACTGATTGTATGAAGTAGTGTTACATTACATATGTGACTGTAATGATGAAACAATTTCAACAATACATTATTATTATAACTTGAAAGAAAAATTCAGTATCACATTAAAAATAAATTGTTCAAAAGCCAATAGATGAAATCAGATTCTCAATTTGACAAGTGCTATTAAAATAAATGATACTAAAGTCATTTTGCCTTAGGCACATCAACTACTCACTCATGTCGATACATCTAAATGACCCTGATAACCACAATATTTAGAGTTTAGGTGTTTATGACAGCTGTGTTCTTATTGTGAAGCTCATTCATTCTGAAAATTCAGTATGTGTGAACACTTTCAATAAACTTTCTGTAAACACTTTCCACCCACTAAATAATAATATGAAGAAAACAATTAATAGAATGCAGCATATGCATTTATGAAGAATATAATTTTCAATTGTGAGACAATTTCCAAAGTGAGAGGCAGAATTTGTTGTACTGAGTCAGCAACGAGAAGAGTAACTCAAGTGTAAAGCCTTGGGGAGACAAATTCCAGGCTTAATTTTCTGTTAAGAACATTGTTTGCACACACATCGCAATGAAACTGACTTAGGGAGACCAAATCAAGAATGCCTCCTTTTAGGTATAAGACAAATCATTTAAACTGCTGGGGTATAAGTATGTTTTTGACAAGATGCATTTCTGTTTGCAGAGATTCAAACACAATCTAGCCCTGCACTTAAGTGCTGTTGTGTTTATTTCAATTTTTTGTTTTCATTAATGTTAAAGGTTTTAACTATAGGATAAGGATCACTACTTTGAAAAATGTCTTTATGAATGGTTTATCTTACTATGGATATGAAATAATTATTTTTCAACATTTGTCCCATGTCTGATCTAAAATGACCTTTTATTTATTTGGGGGGAGGGCAGGGAGGATGATCACCTGCGTCATTGCATAAAAACTACAATTTGAATGGATGTGTGCTTTCTTCAGTCACACATAAGAAAATTTATCTGTGTATTCTAACTAAGAGTATGTTTAACATTATAGTTCCCAGTTTATAAAGAAGTACTTCAACGTGTTAGCGATATTTGATATACACAAGTTCAGATCGCATTACAATGATGGTCACATTCTTTTGGTTTCCTGGGTCGAAATCACTTATTCAAATGTTACTTTCTATAGTCACAGACTTATTTTGAATTTTAGATTGAAGATATTCATGTCTTTGAAGTTTTTTAAACTAGCATTCTGTGAGAGGTGACTCTCTTATATAGACATTGTAAATATCAGGCCTGTGTCACAGGAGTGTTACGTTATCATGCATCACCTTACACTGATGATATCAGTTACAGTGATAATCTACAACTTGTGTATTGACGTATCGTATGCGAAGCAGCACACAAGCATTTTTGGCAATGTGAGTTATCTGGACTTATGCTGCAACTTAAGAGATTTGCTTGAGCTGAGGGGTAATACAAATCACATAAAGCGCTCGTGTGCTGTTTCATACAAGTGTTAAATTACTCGTATCCACAGACATCAATACATGACATCATCAGTTTTGGGTGACGCACCTCAACACAATGATCGTGTGACACAGGCTTCATTCCTAATACTGTTCAAGTTATGAGCTTCAGATCTGTCATCTAGTTCTAGATTCAAGAAATATTAAAGTGCTGTGCCCAAGTGCTGTCTAATCAAAACTTCAGCTACAACTTGGGCAATGACCCTTAGTCAGTGGAGGGTGCAGCTAATATTCAAAACACCCCAAGTAGTTCTTTCTTTGGTTACATCGACTGCAAATATTTACTCAGATGGTGGTTTTTATTAATGTCCCTAATAACCAATTGATAAATTGGGCTGTTATATTATACTGCTAGAACTTTTGTGAAAATTAAATTAATTTTAATTTAAAGGTTGGTCCACACAAAATCATCAGCTGGGAGTTGATGAATGGCGCAGCAATTGGACATCTGAGACACATCTTCATTCTAAAACTTTGTGATTGGAATTAAAAGGCAATTTTTGTTAATACAATTCTTCCATGGGCTATTTGTTTTGAAGTTCTTCAGACTGAATGTGTGAGAAAGTGTTGTAAGATAAGTTTTCCTATAAAGAACTTTTTTGCTTAAATAATTTGAGGAATTATTTTGTTGAATTTAATACAAACAATAATTAATGAAACTGCAGACAAAATATATTTCAAAGCTAATTTATATTTTACATCAAGCTATAACTGTTCTTTTCTGATAGGATTTTTGAAAAAGTCAAGTTAAACTGAATATTGTTAATTTATTAACAAATATATACAGATATTTTCTATAAGTTTCAGTTTACACTTTATAGGATTTTTGACAGCTGTTGCTGAGGTAATCACACAGCCAGGGGAAGAAAATAATGCACCGATACCACATATTTGGAAGAAATTTCAAGAAGTTGCACTTGTAGGCACTTCCTGGTTCTGAACTTGTTTTTGTCCGGTTTGTGACAAATGCTTCACCACATCCACCCAATCCCAACCTCGAGGTTTCTCTCCTCTCGCATCAACTCTGTCCCATTGTTTCCTCTTCTGCGCCTTACTTAAATGTTCCTTCTTTGCTGCTTTCTTAGTTTCCACTTCCTATTAAAACACATATAATTAATATAATTAAATTCATTTTAAATTCTGACAAAAGTATGGATGGAATAAACAATATTTTATCACATTTTATTTATAAAATTATCACAATGGCCTACACAGTATTTGCAATTTTACCATAAACAGGCTGTATCACAGGCATTGTCTGTTGGCACAAAAGCTGCAAACTATAGGAACTAGTGTGAATGAACAGCATATAGAAACTTTCCTCCTTAACACATTCAGGCCGCTGCCCGTAGAAACCACGAGCGCCAATAGGTCCCTCAAACTACGATACCTGTAGATTCTACGGGCACATGCAATTCAGAGTTTATATTTGCTTATATGTACCATTCTTCCGATTGCTGACTATTCATGAAGGTTTCTACACCACTAAATTTAGTTTGCTGCCATTTAATTTGTAATAAATAACTTTCGAATACACTGATTAGCATACCCTTTGCAGACACCTAAGAAGTGCAGTTCAAAATTGCTACACCAAAGCCTATTATAGGAAATAAAAAGTAATGTTTTCTTTACTATTGCAATAGTCTTGAATGTAATGTTATGTGTAATGTTAAAATATTAACCCAAATTTTAAGAATTTAATTAAAATAAGCGTATTAAATTTTTTTTGAGACTCAAATTTTTGCTTTATTTGTATACAAAAATATTTTAAATTATTATTGTAACCATAAAAGTTGGAACTTCATGTAGAAGTACAAGTTTGTTTCTTTAAAATAAAAAGGAATAGGAAAAAAAAGAGGGGTTAGTAGTGCTGAGGCTATGACCTGAATACATTGATGTCACTAATTATTACTCAACTATTTTTTTTTTTTAAAAAAAGGGGCATTACATCTTATAAACATAAAACAAGGAAGGAATAAATTGCATTGGAATAGAAATTTCTTGCTTTCATATTGGAGATTTAGGTTTTGAATGAAAATGGGTATATACTATTTTTGTAAATGTTACAGGGGCTTCATGTCAAGTACTTCCATGATTTAAATATCTTAATGAACAGATGCTTTGCATTGCACATACGTAGACATCCTAATTTTCAGGTACAAAATTGTATCTCCTCGCCATCTTAACCATGTTTGGAACAGCACTAACAGGCCTTAATCCTGGTGAGTGCAATTAAAGTCCCAATATTTATTAATGCCCTAAGTTGTTGTGCATGTATTTTTTCCCCAAATTTGAATGACACTTTCCTAACTACTTTATAATAATGGAAAGAAAAATGAAAACCATAAAGGCTGAAAAAAATTGTGTAAATCACTTAAATGTACCCTTTCCAATTTGCACAGAAGTGGTTAGTATGTGTGTATTCTGTTCATTTGTGAGTAATTCAAATTGATACTTTCATTATGCTGTTGATTAAATTTATGTTGACAAACTATATGAGCACCTTCCCTTTCTAGTTACAATAGCCCAGTGGCTACAGTGCCAAGTAGACAAGTTGAAAACCTTGGTTTGATTCTCAACTATACCAGAGTTCTGTGGTTCCAAGGTAAAAATTCTTAAGTAGTTCTAGTTAAGGACTTTAGCCCTGTAACCATGGAATTATCATGCAGTTCAAAAGGTCATCCAACATAACATTGAACATTTTGAAGAAAAGAAATAAGAAAAAAAAAATACTATGATGGAGATAGACCTGAAGAATTAGGACTGCAAAGAATAATTTTTTTCTTTAGAAGCAATTTTAATTTTTGAAGTAGTTACAACCTATTTTATTGCCTAGAGGCATGTAGAGGATATCTACTGCAAATATTATTCCATTAGACATACGGTTACCATCCTGAAGAAATCAAAAGGATGAGGCACCTCTAACATAGGTGTGTAAGTGTAAAAAATATATTTTATACACAAAATGTATTTCATTGACAAAAACTACACTGAAAAAGCTTACGGGTTTTCAACATTTTTTGGCTTTGAGATAATTATCTTCTTAACAGAATGTGTGCTTGTTCCAGTATTTTTCCACTACACAAATACTATGGGTCTCTTGGTGGGGTAGTTCTGAAAACGTTCTGCCAGGGCACCCTGCCATCTTCATGTACAGACATAAGACATTTATAATAGAGATGAACTCTACAAAATTGGGACAGGTGGCATACCTAGTGAAATGCGGACAGCAAGACTAATGGGCATGAGAAAAAACTTTTACATTGAAAGAATGAAATCCTTTTTAGAATCTTTGTGATTAATACATTAATGATTTTATTTTCAAACTGTGCAGTATTAAAACAATGCTGTTCTTTCAATAGGAACAGTTGAAATTGTCATCCTTCATTGCAATTATTCCTGCCTCCAATTACTTTACTTTCCTACCCAAAATGCTGAAGGAGTCCAATGTGGCAACAGAAGTATAAAGACACAAACTGCATTAAACTGACCACAATATTTTAGTTCACAGTGAGTACTAAAATTCTTTTTGTACATCTGGTTAAAGTGTTGGTGATTTTATTGCAATTTCTTAAATAGTTACCTTCTCTATAATTTCTTTAATAAAAAAAAAAAAGATTTCTAATGCATATTAAATGTACACATGTTAATATCATAGATATGATTGAGAATATTATTGATATTCCCTCACCTGTGGTTCAGAAATAGACACACAATCCATAGACACACCAAGGTCCTTCACTATGGCATCTGGTTGGGCTGCAATCAACTCTTCCGCTTTCTCTTTAACAAATTCAAATAGTGTGTAGGTCATTGCTGCTCCTAAGTACTGTTCAGCTTCTTGATTTACTACTGTAACTATATTTTCCTTAATTTCTGGAAGTCTTAAGGGAAAAAGTCCATTATAGATGTAATGCTTCAACTTTATATCAACAGGAATTTTGTATAAATTAGAAAACTTACATATGTCGATTATAAAATGTATCCATATTAATTGTTGGTTTTTCAGTAGGATATGTCTTTCCCCAAGACACTTCCAAAAGAAAAGACCTTGGTTCATCATCTTGCCCATACTGAGAAATTAGTACATTGTAAAAATTACAACTTTATTCCATTATTTATAGTTAAAAATTAATTCAAAGGAATATTCATAACAGTACACATACCTTATACTGAAATACTGTAGAAGATAACTGCTTGAATGCAGGATCCCCCTCATATATGGAAGACAACACTTCCCTTTCCTCCTCTTGCAATTCTTCGTCAGACATAATTGCAGTACAAGTTAAAAGTGTTGTAATCTGTGATGCAGCGAGTTAATTTGTCACACGTTTCGTCCTAACCTAATTTTTCCCCAGTAGAAAGCAAAAGCAGTATATTTAAGCATTGAGAGTTGCAATATCAAAGAAACGACGTGTACGCATAAAGTTGAAGTATTTTATCGTTCCTCTGTATGTGGTGCATCATTTTCTAGTAATGTGAGAACAGATAATCATGATGCTAACGGTTTCCAGGTTACCTGTTAACTTAAAACTGAATTAAACACCTACTCTCTGGAATTAAACATAACCTATACCAGACCTTATACTTCGTGGACGACAACAAACCAGTTTTGCCAAATTTCGTTGGGCAAAATCCCTAGAATCTACAGCTCACAGTCTCTCGTTCAGTTCACGTTGGCCTCGCAATATTGAGACCACTGATTAGAAATTCCAGTGGCCACGGTTGTTTTACACTGGTAGAGAAATCTAATAGAATCAAATGCTAGCGAGACGTACATAAAATATGTGACGCAAATTTAGAGTACTCTGAATACCCACTCTCCCATTTACAGTATGCAAAAATATACTAGTCAAATCCATTAGTATTAATTTAACTTGTGTTATAGATTAAAATTTATGATAAATAAAGTTGACGCAGACTGCACGTAAAAATAAGATAGGAGAAAATTTTTGAGTGAAGGAAGAATGTACAGGCGAGGTAATTTCTGACAAGCCCTGCACCCGCCAACGTACTAAAACGTGATGCTTGAGAGAGGGAGACTATTGAGTAAATTTAATAGCATTCTAGAATACGCCACAGATCAATTTAGAATATTTTCTTGGTAATTAGTTTCAATGAATATATTATTAATGAAAAAAATATTTCCATTTATTGTAACAATTACATCACAAGTTATTTCATTTATTTATATATTTGTAATTTAATTTGTAAATATCAGAATGTTTTAGTACGTGTCAAAAGGGAGTATTTCATCAAATATTTTTAAAAAATTAATTGCAACGTTACGTAACACCAAGCACCATTTTATGCATTAAAACTGTTGAAATACGCACTTAAAAAGTGTAAAATGTTATTTAAAAAACTCAAAATAGACAGTGTAAAATCATTATTAAATATTATTGTATCACTCTCACAATTATTTTCACCCAAATAAAATTTTCATCACATCCACAGTTTTATAATACTCATACAACTATATTTTTTCCCCTGGTTTTCTGGAATGATATTTAGTCTAGTCAAACATCACGTCGAAATGTCAGATCGGCCTAGGAGTGATTTTGGGGGAAAATGTACTATTAGTTTAGGCTCTGTACTTCGATTATAAGTCTCTTCAAGGTCATGCTGAAAAGAGGGCGAAACTCATTTTATCGGGAACTTCAATACCAAAAATTTAAGTCATAACCAGGGCTTGAATTCTGATACGTCATCTTTTCATTGGTGCACTCTACACATATATGTCGGGTTTGCACACTTGCGCATGACAAATTGCTTTGAAATCTAAAACTACTGGCCTGGCTACTGTGTGAATGCCCCCCTTTGCCAAGCATTGTTTCTCGACGGGTGACATGTCTTTCAGTGGGATAAGTGGGACCAAGAAAGATATTACCATGGTGGAAATAATGTTATTGAGACAATTACTGTTGTGGAAACCCATCGTGAACGAGTGGCGATGCCCCATGCGGGGAAAGAGCCGGCGAAGACGACGGGGAGGACCGGCTATAATACAGACCTGGGTGAATAATCTGGCAATAGCGCACTCTCGCAGAGCCGAAGGCTGAGGCGTTCGCGGAAGATACGAACATATCCGCTTTTTCATTTTCATTTATACAGAAAGTACGAGGTGCAAAGACTTGTTATATTCTCTAGCAATAAGGTTAAACGGTATTATACCCCAAAAGCGCCTCTTTTCTATTTACTTTCACCCCACTAGATACATAATGTGAATGCAATTAACTTAAGTTGGAATGATAATTTGCGTACCTTGTCATTTTCATGATAATGCATACATTAAAAGAAACTAAATAAATGTCAAAATGGTGGGGATACAAAAATAAAAAAGTTATCAGTTATTTATTCAAAAACATAGGGTAAAATGTTGAATTTTATCTTATTTACATATATGTTTAATTTTATACCTATCCACTTCCTTTCCTTGATAACAATACATCATTTTTATGTTTTATATAATTATTTAGTAATACATTTGCATAAGTGTTATGGAGGCCATGGCTGTACCATAAAATGACATTTTATGAGTGACCACTTGCAACCAAAACAAATCACATATATAATGCTGATATACTAAAACAATATATTTTGCAACTAGTTTATAATTCATGTTTTGCAAATGAGCGCCCTAAGGAACGAGGTTTCATATGTGTACGCAATAAATGCAATAAACAACATTAGAAACACCGGGAGAGATGGCTCAGGGCATCAACTTACGTCACTGCAGTCTCTCTGACCGGGAAGTCTTAGATTCGAGTCCCGACGGTGGCAGGATTTTCGAATTCAGTCGCTGTCTGGAGGAGAATTCTTGCGGCCGGCTGCTCTGTTAGGTAGTTTTCAGTGATTTGTCCAATCAACACCATAGGAATGCCGGGGCAATATCCTAAAAACCGGCTACGGACCGCGCGCGATCTTTCCTACCTCATGCTTGTCCTATCCTCACCCTTTACACGCACTTACCCTAACATGCACTCCACTACTATACTTGCCAGGAGATCGGTCGGTAGCTTAGAGCTTGTCCCGCCTGGGGCGGTGCCGCGCTGGTCAGAGGCAGGTTTACGGAAAACCCCGCTAGCCGACGCACAGTGGTTTATTTCCAGAAACTAGCGGTATTTAAATCTAAAATGCATATGATCGAAACGAAAGAAAGCCTACGTGGGCGGGACTGTACCAGTCCTCTGAAGTGCAACATTCATTTCTCAGAAGACTGGGAGGTATGTTCAGCGAGCGCTTCCGAGCCGCACGTGCAGACCCAAGTCTTGCTTTGACGCGATTGGTGCTATTGCCCACTGCCACTGCATTGTTAAGGATAACTTGATTATCCGACATGGACGAGAATCCGGAAGGTATGTTCTTTAGAATGCACTAACTTTTAACAGAAAATTTTACATTTTTGGTTGTTTTTTATATGCGATCATGTATTTGAGACAGGTTTCTTAGTGATCGGAAATTTGAGTTATCTTAAGTTGACAGCAATTGACAAGAATGGTCTTTACACGATTGAATTCTATAAACCTTCTGAAACAAAATGGTAGAAAGCATTTTTGTCTGAATTTGACCCTTTCCGAAAAAATCGATTTTTCAGATGCTTGTAATCACTCGACGGGAGCTATTCGAGCTCTTACGTGAGGGTGAACTCTCTCATCCAACATATTTTCGGAATAGAAAAATATTAATGCAGTATGTGTCTAGTAATGTTCGTGGAAGTATTCCGAGGCAGTATTAAGTGAGAAGACACGGAGATTCACTTGCTAAATTGTTGACGAACGGAAGGCTTGTAACAGAATGATAGATTCGCGGCAAGGAATCCAGCATGTCTGGTCGACGAAATGTTGTGTGTCATGTAAGAAGCACAGAAAGCGACGAAAGGTAGACATGAAAAAGAGTTATTTTCATGTTCGAAGAGAACAAATGGAGAAAAGTACGGCGAGATTTTACTGATTTATTAAATTCGAATTTGTGAACGTGACACCACATGAGACAAATGCAAAACTGGCTCGTTTAGAAGAAAACATTAAGAAGCTTCAAACAAAAAGATTGAATATTGGGGGTGCAGATATCTCTGTATATAACAAATTGTTGAAATATATGAGGGAAAAGTGGGTAATTCACTTATGTTAAAGCCTCCTCTCAGATGTTCATTATTTATGATGCATCTCCAAAGCAAATGAACAATCTGAAACATATTATAAAAATAACTTTGCCATAAGGAAGCTTTTTATGTTGGCCTTTCACGCTCAAATTAGTCTCTTCGAGTCCCTTCTTCACATTTCTTACAGACTATATTTTATAAAATAGTGGTCTCGTGGATATGAAGAAAAGGTACTGTAAGATCCCAGGAAAAGCGTAAATAATTGTCAAATTTCGAAAGAAAATGGGACTCTTTATGATCATCCTAAAATAAAGAAGTACACCGAACCATGGCACTATTTGACAATTTTTCCAAAATCTGGAACAGTATACTAACATCTCTGGGATAGATGGAAGTCTCATTCGCAGATTCTCTGTTGTTTTACAAGCGAGAGGAGCGGTTAGGATGTGACTGGAAATTTTCAGAAAACAAAAAACAAAAACGCATTTGAAACAGTAAAATTTTATGTTAGTTTATACGGATGTAAACACGCCTGTAACAGTGCACAAAATATTAATTCATGGCATTGATGTCCTTAATGAAATGATTGTCCCAATAGGACCACTGTCTGAAGTCACGCAGGAAGCCCGTCACAAAGATTTCAAGACATGTCGAGAAAAAAATACAAAGAAAAAAAAAAATTTAGAGTACATGACAATGAAGATCTGCTTCATTTTCTATCGATCTCTTCTCACTCAGTTATAACAAGCATTCGGCTACTATCAACTAAGGAAACTGAACAGCTACCGACGGAAGTTTTGAAGTTGTGTATGCTCCGGGAGGTGATGTGCGACGTGAAGGTACAATAGCAGATTCAGAGAGCGATTAATGTCTATTTCTGCAACTTTTTCTTTGTTACTAGTATTAATAAATTTTTATTTGCACTGTTAGGTATGAATTAGAATAAGAATATTTAATTTTGAGTTAGTGTTTCATGTAAGTAGGAGTAGGCAATTGCATGCAGTATCTCTTAAGTAGTTCCAACATTGATAACCTGACGATCCTTATCAAGACTAGGTGCAATGAATTCATTATTATATTTCGTCCATACATTACAATATAATGGAAAATGGCACAAAGAATAATTCTGACCATTTTCAACACCGCCGGCTTCACCGTCCTCTTGTTAACATTTTACTACCGCAAGATGAAGGAAATCAACCACTGTGCGACTGTAGGTCGGTGCCGGATCTTGCCATACGGCGGGATCGCCATACTACACCATCTCCTGAGAAAAAACATGCACTGCATTTGTGGGACTATGTCTTGAGTAGTTGACGCACCCGTAATTACTAACAGTATCAACATTATAAACGAGTTGCATGCGCTATTTTATTACAGCATTATACATTTATTTCATTTTGGAAACAAACTTTAAAAGGAGTTTTGCAGTTGGCAACATAGTCTATTATGAAGTATCTCTGAGAGAACAACCAGGAACAGGGAGAACGAATAGGGAGAGATGCGAGGAAAAATGTGCAATAAATTGCCAATTAATGGACGATATCTTGCAACGGAAAAGGTTATTAATGCTGGAATATTTATAAAAAAAGAGATAATACCTGATTATTAAAGTGCCAAATCACGTAACTATTGAGAAGGTACTTTATAAATTGAATAGATGGTAAATGTGAGAAGGGATTGAGGCATGAGACATATACACATACATTATACTTATAACACATACATTTTCTTATTTCCATCATAAGCGTTCCAAAAAGAAACTTGAAAGAACTTCCAGTAATATGCGAAGCTCAGAGAGCAAGCAAAGAAAGGAAAGAAACTATCGGTATAAAATAAGGATGAATAAAGTATGGGATATTCAAGCATTCTAGCTCAATAACAATGAGGAGAGTTGACAACTTTCCTTTTCTTCTTTCCAAGAAAAAATTTCCCTACAAGATCGCTGTGTTGGCAAGTTCATCACGAGATTCAGAACACAAAATGAAATGAAATAATTTTATGAATGTTACGAGGGGACGGGCAACGCATCCTCAGTTTTCCTGGCCTTCGAGTTAAGAGTCTAACTATTATGAGAAGTGATAAAATTTATTTTGTAAGTCAGTGGGCTTGTACGTTATCTGTTAATTTGTGGAGTGAACCTCGCTAGAGCGAGTAGGGAATTTAGCGATTTGTATGTTAACACCACACCAATTTACACGTCAGTTCGGCGGTGTTCGTAGGCTGCTAGAGTCAAACCGGCATGTGATGGTTTTGTGAATGTGATACGGATGTTTTGAGATACTGATTGTGGAAGATACGCTTTAGAGTGTAATGAGGAAAACGTAACATACACATTTTATGTGTAGACGCGTAACTTCGGTGTTGTAAAATTTTGGGTACTATAACCTGTGATAATAATTATGAACATGTGCTTTACGACATTTGTGGGTATAATTATTTTCATTGTATTTCCATTCAGTGAAGTTTCTAGTCTGGGAGAAGTAATTTACGCTATTAATGCTGGAGGTGACGCTCACGTCGATAGTTATGGTGTTAGGTTTGAAAGAGATCCCTTGCAAGGCAAGGTTGGAACAGCCTCGGACTATGGCAAACAATTAGTAATAGGTCGGGTGATACCAAGAGACCAAGTTTTATATCAGACAGAGCGCTATCATCATAGTACTTTCGGTTATGACATTCCAATTCAGGAAGATGGAGACTATGTTATGATTCTCAAGTTTTGTGAAGTGTATTTTAATGCCCCCAACATGAAGGTGAGAAACTGAAACAAGTTGGCAAAATAAAATGAACGTTTCGTGCGTTCATCGTTAATATTAATTGTAATGATAACTGTTATAAATAGAACTACTATCATAAGTAATTTAAGACACATTGTGTTGATTTGTTTTCATCTATTTAAGAATTGTAAAAATATTCATTACATTGTCTTTATTATGTCAATAAATTGTTTGGATTCATTATTGCTATATGATTTGCCATTTTGAGAAGATGTAACTTTGACAGAATTTACCTGGGTTTTGTAAACCTCTTATCATCTGTTGTTTACTTTATTGTTTATATTATATTTTAAATGTGTGAAGGATCTCCTCTCAGAATTTTTATTAAATTAGAACGTATGTTAAATTTTGTGACCTCCAAAATGAATTTTATCATTAATGTACATTAGTAAAACCTCTGTTTATTAAACTTTTAACAATATTGGCATCAGAGTATAGAAACTAGGGACTATTGACACAATTTCTATGGATGTTATGAGAAAATTTAAATTAAATTTGTATACTCCATATAATTTGTTAGACATCAGTGTTTGTGGTCGTATAGTACGAAAGTAGGTTCATATGAGTTTTAGTCAATCCTGTGACTGCGAAAACCACTACCTCATTTTCATTATCAACTGTAGATGGTCTACAATTCAGAAAGATTCAATGAACTCTTAACAACACTAACAAATATTCTGAAGTTTCTATGTCATAGTTCCCTTAAGTTTCTTCATCTTTGTTATTTGCTGGAAAATTGTGGATATTTAAGTACCTTTTAACCTCTTAAGATTGATTTTTATTTTACAAATTTTGATGTTATTTCTCTTTTTGATTACAGGTCTTTGATGTTGTTTTAAATGGTGACATCACCATAGTTCCAGATTTGGATATATATGATAGAGTTGGAAGAGGCATAGCTCATGATGAGTACATTCCGTTTAGTGTGGTAAAAGGACGTTTGTATTACAATGAAGAGGAGTCAGATATAAGAGGTGGAAGAATTAGAGTTGAGTTTATAAAAGTGAGTTCTTCCTCAGTAATGTCCTTTTTCTTTAAATTGTAAGAAATAATAAATTAAAATTCCAGGTTATTTTTACTGTAAATACATTTTTTTGTAATTGGGTACTATGGGATATTACCCAAAACAAATTGCACAAATTGGACCAACTCCCAATATCAATTAAAATATTTAATATATATCAGTTATCTTATTCTTTATTTTTATTCACAAATTTGTTTATTTCTGACATAATTTTCTTTCCTACAGTCTTGACTTGTCTTTCATATCTTCATTGAGAGCTAAACATTAAGATTCCCCTCTTTGGAAGACTAAAACTTTCTATTGAAACTTCCAGAACTTTATTTTAGGAATGACTATATTGTTGGCATACATTTTAAACTCGTCTAAACAAGAACAGTGTTTTGAAATAAATCAAGTTGAAGATACTGTTAAATTTGTCCACTCCACTCCATTCCATTTGCTATGCAGCAGATAAAACCTACATGGTTTTGATTTACATACCTTTTCATATGTAATGTTATGTTGTGTTGAAAAAAGGGATCAATCAGGTCCAAAGATATATTTCTACTGTACAACATTGTTCTGTAGCTTTGTTAAGAAAGGAAATAATCCATAATTTAGTACATCTAGATTCCAGGACTTTAAAGATATCACTCATCGATAGAATAGAAAAAAAATATTATGTAGCAATATAAATAATTCAAAACAAATGAACGTTAAGGTTTCACTTGTATATGCGTGTTAAGTTCTTATAAAGATAATATCAATTGCAGTAAATCCTAAACATTATCAAGGAAGAAGTGGATTTCCTTCTTCGGTGTGGTAAATTGTTTAATAAAAATTTAAAATTAGATATTACACAATAAACATTTCAAAACATTAAACAGTACCATTTATGAAGTGCAATATTTAATCACAATCAATTACCTCTACTCTGTTCTGGATCTGCCTCTGGTTATTTGACATTTAATTCAAAGTATGTTCATTTTAATGAAATTTAGTTTTCGAAAATTGGCTCTAGTATGCTTAGTATCTTAGTTGTGAAGAGAAAAAGGATTAAAAAAAAAAAAATTTATTATTAATGATAATGACATAAGAAAGCTCTCATTCCTCAATTGCAAAAGTATAAGGCAGATGAAGAGGGAACTAACAAAATTTAAAATATAAACGAATCTCAAGGTTCTACTGTACTTGAAATAAATAAATTTTTAGGCAAAAGGAAAAGGATAATTTCAAATACTTCTGGCAGATTTATGTCCCATTTTAACTGAAAACAACTCTATTACAAAAAAGACATTTATGTACAATGAATAGAATGCTCCATTTTAAGAACTATTACTCATAATTTCAAAAACAAAGTTTGATGTTGTTAACGAATGGGAATATATTATATTTCATTAATATTTTGTGTGTGTTAATTGAAAGTTCAAGGGTTTAGAATAGCTGAATTGTGGAATTAGTTTTACTGTTATTTTTCATTAAAAATTAATTTCTTCCAGTGTTATATAGATTCCAAAGTAGATCCTTTGACAAAATTTTATACTTTGCATAATATTATAATGAAGATTTGAATTTCTCAGGTTTGATTTTTTTGCAATACGCAAGGAAATATTAAAAATTTTCTTATTTTATTGCAATCAAAATAAAAAAAAGATGAGTGTCTTTTTGAATTAATTTGCAACAATAGATGCTTTGAATCTCTGAATTTCTAATACCTTGAATTTCTTATAGTTCTTACATTTGAAACATATTGTAGGGTTTTTACATTTGAGATCACAGTAGATTAAGAATGTAAATATCATTTTGTTTCCAGAGTTACCGAGACAACCCTAAGATTAATGCTATTGCAGTTATGAAGGGAAAGTTGGAAGGTGGGTATTATACATATATTTCTAAAAATCAAAGGATATATAAAAATGGTTGTAGATGTATGAATTTGGTCCATATTCCAGATGCACCTAAACTTCCTCCATTGGCAAGCGAACCAGAAACTGATGAAATTAGAGTGGAAGAAGAAGAGAAAAAAACAAACAAAAATCGCCGTCCCAGTGGGCCAAGAACCCCTGACCCATACTCGGTTGATGATACGTCCATTATGCTACCAGTGTTTGTTGCCATAGGTGCTTTTATTCCATTACTTTTTTGTTTGTGCAAACTTTAACAAAATATGAGAAATGCTGAGATTCAGCTCATTTACTCTACAAAATGTTTATTACACAAGGCACTAGAACTAAATTGTACCAAAAATTCAGTATTGCATCATTTCTTTTTATTCTTTTTTACTGAAAAAAAAATCACATAGACACATATCACTTTGCTACATACATTATTGATTGTTCTTTTAATTTGGAGAAAGGGTTGGCAAACAGAAAATTTCTGACTGAAAGTAGGCAGGAATACAGCTACTTCTGTATATGGTGTGTAAATTGAGACTCCTGGGATCCTCGTGGGATTGTGTGGAACATGCTTATGAGAACAACATGAAATATAATTATTTCCCTGTATCGTTTTGTTCTCAATTCTGGTTTTTCAGGTACAATTTATTTGTCTTATTTGTTTCTTAATTTAATCTGAACAAAGGGTATTTTGTAAAGCACTGAACCCTTTGTTGAGAGTGCCAACCCCAGATTTAGTGTGATACTTGCCAGAAGTGCAGTTTTTTAATAATGCATTAATGAAGTCTTTATTTTCATTGAAAACATGACATTGCACAATAGAAAAAATGAAGGAGACTTGCTAATATGAAGTAATTAATATCCAGTGAAACAGATGCCATTTGTTTATTTGAATGTGTGTGGTATAAATGGGCCAATGGAGAAAAAACAAATTTATATTGACGATAAAATGAAGCAAAACAGTAAGTGAATGAAATGGTGCAAGTTCCTGGCCTTTCTAATTTTTATAAAGTGACTAAACATTATTTTAACTCTTTTTGTTGTATTGTTACATTTTTTTTTCTGTTTCTTAAAATTTGCACGTATAAAATTATTAATAGCAATACTATTTTAAATAGCAATGTAAGTGAAATAACCTATTCTGTATTTCATTTTATTCAAACAAATATTTATTATGTCAGTTACAGACATGTCAAAAAGTGTATTCAATATTTTCTTCAATTTCATGCATAATTGCTTTAATATTTGCACGTTTAGCTTTCTCCCTTTGCTTTGTTTCTATTATTTCCTTCGATTCATCACCAATGTCATATGTCACGTGTAATTGGAATCAGAAAGAATTGAACTTTTTCATGATTTGTTTTTTAAGAATTTGCTATTGAATCTTGCCCAAGTATATAATTATTCATTAAATGAAAACTGTTGTTTTGTGCTTTATATTTTTTTATTTATTTGTTAATTATTTTTGTAGGTCAGTTTTGTGTTACATTGGTTTGGCTGGTTGTTGCTTGTTAATGTTAATAATTAAAACTGTGTACATGCTGAACTTCAAAATATTAACAAGACATATGTAAAGGAAAAATTTAAAACAATATACATAGTAGTAAACAATTGATTTCGATGCAGAATGTTGTTTTACTAATATTTCTCTCAGAGAAAGTGAAAATAGATTTTGTTATTACAGCCATTACTAAAGGTTGTGGTTGTACTTGGAATTATAAAATTGTCACTTTTTAAAAGTTGTAAGTTTTTTTATTTTAAATTGAAAATTCACTATGTACATAATATTTTTTAATTGATTTCATTTGTTTGTCCTAGTTTACATATGTTGTTACATTGTTATTGTGTTCTTTTATACTGTTTTATTAATTTTTGAGAGTCACTGTTCATGACATGATAGAATGAATATTCAAAGATAAATTGTAGTTACAATTTTAGCCTCCAAATCTTGTTGCATTTAATCACATTTAATTATTTTTTGAAATATACTGAAATTACAAAATTTTCTCTGCCAGTGACTCATTGTTCTATTTGTTGGTACTTATTTTATTAATGGTGAGGGATCTTTGTGTTGCTGTGAAAGTGCAGTATTATCTTAGGTATTTGTCAGTACTTATATTTTTGTGCAATTTTTTTGTGTTAAAACACTTGATGTGTGTTTGAGTTTATATTTGACAAGAATTGAAGTCTTAACAAGACTGAAAAGTAAGATATTTTGTTGAAATGTCACGCAAATGGCAGTTCTTCGCACACAACTCAAGTTGACTAGTGTAGACACAATGTTAGCAGAGGTCAAACTTGAAGGAAAGACACTTGACATTAATTTTTGAATGTGTTGTTGATTTAAATTCTGGCAGGGTTTTCAAGCAATTTTAGAAATAATATAGAAGTCATGAAATATTTAGTTACAAGGACAAAAGTGTGCAAAATGGAACTTTTTCATTCAATTTAATTTCAAATACAGTTGTTGTTTATTGTTATTGTTATTGAATATCATTATTTTATTCTTAAATCAGAAGAGCAATAGTGTAAAATAGTGCTGTGTGCACAAATAAAATAAAAGTGAACTGTGTGATATATCTATAGTGAACCATGTCATGACATTTTAATAAATGTAATATATGTCTACTTTCTAAGAAACAGTGGATATTGTGCATCTTTTGAATGCATGTTGCATAAATAGTACTGAATCCATTCAGTCTAATTAGCATAGAGGGAATTAATATTAAGTAGTGGCCTTATTTTTCACATTTCAATTGTGTGCATAAAGGCCCATGACTTGTAGAAGTTAAGGGTGAGTTTCAGTGCTCTCAAGTATTGGAATGTTGTAATTAAATAACCATGTAGAAAAAGTTTTTTATGTGTGTTTGCAGTGTGAAAAAGTATTAAAGTAATTTTGTAATGAACATGTGCTATTATTAAATATTTTTCCCTTTCTGACTGTTGGGAAATTTTGTAAAGATGATTGATAAATGGAATTTTGCTGATAAATTGTAAGTAGAAAAAAAATGTAGATGGGAATGCCTGTTGTTTGTAACCCACAATTGACACAATGCAATAATAACTTTATGATCTTGAAAGCTGTAGATTCAAACAATTTGAAACTTAATTGAATAATACGTTTGATCAGTTGTGCTTTTGTATAGTTATTAAAAACTCGTTATATGAAATTATGGAAAATATATGGTTTTAAATTCATGAAGTGAACTTCGAATGAATTCGAACTCCCTCTTATTTTGATACTAGTCAGAAGGTACAAAGGTGAAAGTAATTATTGTTATGAAAATTACTTGTAGACTTTCCTTTAAAAATAAATGATTTTTTTTGTTGCTTAAAAGGCTTTCGTACATCATCTCGCCTCCTTCCTCAGCAACGTTTTAAGTTACTAACTAGATTCATTTTCTATTGCATTTTATAGCAGTTGTGTAATCCGCTACTATTGGTCGGCTGGTTGGCCGGGTTGGCCGTCGCCATTTACGCGACGCAGGAGACGATCTTCGGGGTGAATTGTTCTCGTCGTTTTCGGCGACAGGGGAGTACCCTGCCCCCCACAATATTTTTCCCGTTCGAACGTGCTTTAAGCATTCTATCGTGCTAGTGAATACCGGGAAAAGGTATTTTATTGTTCATAACGCTTAATCATGGCTTGCTGAAAAAATGTCGTTCTTGAAGCTGATGGTCGTATCTCCTCGCGGAGAATTTTTCTCCAAAAACCTTAACGTAGATGTTAGAGGATTGTACTATGGAAAAGAAATCAAGTCGATCAGGTCAACCCCCGGTAAAGGGGAATGGAACTGAGTCTAAGAAGAACCCAGGTTGGTTGCCTTTTTTATTTTGTATTTGTCATTGCTTTTGGTCAAGCACCTTATTTTGAAGGTCGAGATAAAGGGACTTAATTTAGGCGAGAACACGTTGATATGCTAATATTTACATTCTTTGACATGTACTGTAGAATATTAACATACTGTCATCGTATTTTTTATTAAGACTATTGTTTTGCTCAGATACTGTTGGCAGCAAAATCTTCCCGAAAACTTCTCGTCGTCGTGAGCCTGGCAATTCTCAAAATGCAAAATATGAGACCAACAGGAAGCCTGTTCCTCAAAAAAACAAATCATTTGACAAAAGACCCAAACCAAGGGGACAGTATTATGGCTGTGGAAAGGAGGATTCCAAGGTATGTCCCAACTTGTGAAACATTTAATGAACTTAATGAAAAGTCTTGAAACATAATAGTTTTAATTCCAAACAGCTTTATTGTATTTGTATAAATTGATTGAAGTACTTACTATCTGTAAAAGGAACAATGAAGTGTATAATGAGTACAATACAGCTTACTATTTCTCTTGATATTGGTCTGAAATGTTTATCCTGTTTGGTTTGTATTGGAAATTAACATAACAATAAATGAAGTTCTGAAAATATTTACCGTAAATCTACATAATTAGAGCATACTTAAGCAGTTCTTATGGAAGTGTAAAAACTGTATGATAATTTTTTTATGATTTACTGTTATATTACATCAAAATGGTAATTAATATGTCCTTGCTTTTGATGTCATCTTACAAATTCTACTGAACTTTATAAACTCTTGAATTTACTGTAGTCTGTAATCTAAAGTAAGTTGATTGAAATAAAATAATTATAAACAATATGTGAAATAAAGATCTGTTCTTATAAGCAAATGAAATATTTTAGTTTGTTATAAATTTATTACTATTTTCTTTTATATTGTCTGGATATAAAAACTTCACACTATTTGATTGAATTATAATTTTTCCATTATTTGTTTTCATGTTCTCTAAAAATTTAAGTATTCTTCTTTAGGTAGCAGAAGATGAAGTGGAATGTGGAGGAATCTATGTGAAGAAAGAAGTTAAAAAGTTGAACTTGAACCATCTGCTAAATTTTCATTATGCTTCAAGAGATTCAGTAAATACTGGCCAGAGAAACTGGCGAGCTAATCCTGGAGGATGGGGTCGAAGTTATGCCTCCAAATCACTTAAGCATAAGTACAACAAGGAGCAGTTTCTTCAAGCCAAGTATGTACTTCAAATACTAATTTATAAAAGACAATTTGTGAGAGGTTAGAAGTAGGTCCTATTCAAATTAAGAGTATCAATTTGATAGGCATGTTATTAAATTAGAATGGCTCTCTAAAGAAGTGTATTAGAATGTGCAGAATTTTCAGGAATTATGTATGTAAAAAGCAGTCTGAATGAAGATTTTGTGAGCAGGAAGATACAGCATGTATTCCAAAAGATGCCAAACTAAATACTACCAATGCAGACTGACTGACTTAAATGTTTCAGTACTTTTAAGATTATTACAACTTGTAAGGCAAAGAAAGTGATTTTCACATCACTTAGTTTTCAAGAACCATGATGACCTTGGTAATACAAATGGCATTATGTATTTCTGGAACATCTTTGTTAATGACATGATTTGTTTGTATAGAACTGAATGGAGGGAGGTTTCTTTTTCACAGTTTTTCTTCTAAATTTCTTTGCTTATTACCAAGGATTTATTTCTGACTGAATATGCAGGACATGCATTTCATTACCTTTGGAGCGAAACATTAAAGACGAACAAAAAGTAGGGAACAAACACAAATTTGGTACCATTTCATTTTTAGTTCATCCAACTTTCATAATGAAATTAAACCATTTTCCACTTATCTGCCTCTATTATTTCTACATATATAACAAGACTCAAAGACTAGGTACAAAAGAACTGCTAAAAATATAATTACACTCTTTAAATTATATTCATTTATAATTTTTATTGTTATTGTAACTATTATTATTGCTGTTGGTTTTGTACAGTTTTATTCACATACAGGAAGTCTACTGTTGCGCAAGTGCTACCATTGTTAATACTTTTATTTACATTAATCATTCATAATTAAAAATATAAATTATATTATGATTATGTAACTATTTTTATATCAATTGGTAAATGGGGGGTGGGGCATGTTTGTAACCCAAATTTTAAGAAATTGAGCACTTCCAAATACTAACCTCCAGTTACAATTGATGAATCACCTGCATATTGACACATTTTCTGTATCATGATAAAATGTACAATTTACTATATAATTCAATTTCCACAGCAATTGTAAAGTGACTCATCATATGTACATGCCTGTTTCTGGAGAAGTGGAATGATAAAATGATTTATACACTGTTGAGAAGACTCCAAATGCACCTCTCCCTCTTAAATGTTACGTTCTCGTAACATTTATGTGTTAATTATTATATTATCATCTTCAAACTAGAAATATTTTTTAAAAAAAGATTTCAAACATCTTGTGATTAATATTAAAAGTAGTTTTTAGATCTGTATGAAATTACACCCAATGTTTACTGCATTTATGTTTAAGTCAGGACAAGCATTTTTTGGGTGTGGGAACGATTTGTTCAATTGGGGAGGGATCAGCAAGTTTGAAAGTTGTTACAAAAGGGGAGACATTTATCACAGTACATTTTGTGTACTTCTTTTTTTGACTGGCCTTGTAATAGTTACTTAGATTATATATAACTAGTGATGCTACAGAATGGCACAGATTCTCACATTAGTTTTGTATTATTTTTCTTCCGGGCTAGCTATTCTGATTTACCACATACTTTTGCCGGCTGCCATCTATTGTACATTTTGTTTTTAAATGTTCTCAATTTTTTGGTTTCTGAATAGTAGAACTGAAATATTACTGTAAGAATATTAAAGAAGATTGAAACATTGCCCTCAATATTGTCAAATCATTGAAAAAATTTGAGCAGTTTCCAAGAAATTGACACGTAAACATTACTGTAAAAGTGAAATTTGAAGTTCTTTTTCACAGAAATTGTTTGAATTTTTGATAAACTTCATTTGAAGCACTTCCATTTGCAAGTACAATATTGTACACAAATTGCTGGGAATGTGCTTATTAGTGGTGTGAAAGAAGAAAAAAATTACACATGTACATTTTGTTAAAAAAACAAAAGAAAACTGCAAAATTAATTTAAGTCATCTTAAACAGTGCAGTTAGCACTAGCGTCCATACAAAAAGTTTGGGTCAGTTTTTGAGAAAATAGCATTTGATGGTTTCTGAAGATGCGGAAATTTGAGTTCATTTTCACAGAAATGTTTTGAGCTTTCGAGGAACTTTATCAGACAACATTTAAAGAATATCTACTCCCAAATGCAATAGGGAAAAGAAATCGCCCCTAATGTTAATAATGGCAACGTGAGAAGCTCATAAAAAAAAAAAAAAAAAAAAAAAAATTGTAATTTTTGAAAAAGCAAAAGAATAGTGCTAAATGGCGTTGTCATCTCATAGCATACATTTAGCACTATCCTACCAAAAGCTTTAAGAAAACTTTTGAAGCCCTCTTTGAGAAAATCTTGTTTTTTAAAATTGCACTGAAACAATGTATGACCTTAATGAAACAACTAATTATGGACAACAAATTTTATATGAAGGAAAAACCTTTATCTTCAATTTTATAGGAAGAAGACCAAAAAAAAAAAGAAAGAAAGAAAAGAAAAAAATCAAACTCCTGCAATTTTTCGAAAATTCAAGAGTTAACAATGAAAATCCGACCTGTGCCACCTCTATAAGCGTATTTTACTCCATTTTTACAAGAAATTTCAAGAAAAATTAGGAGCCATGTTTGAGAAAGTTTTGAAAATGTCCGGGAGGCTTCATGTAAAGTACCCCAAATTCTGAGAAAAGCGTTTCTAAATCGCTGCGCCAGATAAAGCATGGAATATCATTTTGGAAAAAATCGTACATGTGGTTTAGAGTAGTGTTCACAGATGTTATTTGGTTGTTAGGCGCTAGAGTGGTGTTAGCAAAGAAATTGTTTTTTCTATTGAAATTCCGCCGTTTTTTTCGCGCATCATTACGTAACTTTTCATGTACTACATATATTACTTGCATGTACGTATGTATACGGGAAAGTAATAAATAAAACTAGTGGTGCTGTAAAATGGCACAGACTTTCTCTAGTAAGTTTTCTAATCTCTCTAGTGTGGACTAGCCTTTTGGTAGGTCTTTTCCTCTTCATAGTTGCCTTTTGTCGTCCGAAAACTTTTTTTTTTTTTTTCCATACTTTCTCAGCTCTAATGTTACAAATGAAACCAAGAGGTCGCCGGTTCGGGTCCCACATGGAAATTGTACTTGATGAAACTGTTGTAGATAACTATTGAGGATTCAAGAAACTTTATTCAAAATATTGAAGCATATCTGCTCACAAATGCAATCAATACATGTACAAATAAACCGGACGTGGTTGTACGTGCTTTTGCAATTTGTAACTGTGAAGCATTTTTTCCGCGTTCATTTGCAATTTGTGAAACTATGTCGTGTCATATCAATTGTCGAGATTGTGGGCATCTGTATGAACCGGGAGAGGGGGGTGGAGGGAGGGGGAAGTTCTGAAGTAGGTTGCATTAGGACTTTTTGACTGATGTCTTCACATGAAAACTTAAAAATGTCAACGATTAGTTGGTAATTATCAAGCAAATACCAAAGGCATTTTATTTGGTTCTAGATAAGGTTAAACATTAGCTGAAGAAACTTAAGTGGTATCATAATCCATCACTAATAAAACTGGTAGGGTGACCAGCTGTAATATCTGAACTAAAAGTTCTTTCTGAATGGTCCCTGTCATAAAATTGTTTGATGTCACATTAGAAAGTAAGTGTACAAGCAAGATAGGACTCGCAACAACTGTTGCATGATATCAGAATGGATAGGGTCTTTTAAACTGAACTCGTATTGAGAAATCACTGTAGTAGTCAAAAGTGGGCTGTACAATACTGCTTTGAAGTTAGGAAGTTCAGAAATGTGGCAGGAAGCTAAGAGATGTTCTGTATTTGTGTAGAGGTGCATTTCCCTTGGGAATGTGAGTGCCTTTTTAAGTGATTGCTCTTGTTTCAGTTGCCAGTTTGTGGTGAAGGCTGATGGTGATTATTCATCTTATATGATGAATCCTGACATGTTGGTTGACTGGGAGTTAATTGAACAGATAGTAAGAAAAATTGATAGTGAGAAAACCATTGAAATTAACTTCTTCATTGATGTGAAATTGGGAGAGGTGGTAATTTTTTTGTTTTTTTGATTTTAGCAATTGCGAAGTGCAGAATTGTTATCTTGCCCTATATGCTTATATCCACCAGTAGCAGCCAAAATAACTCGATGTGGGCATGTCTTCTGCTGGTCTTGTATTCTACACTATCTAGCACTTTCTGATAAATCATGGCGGAAGTGTCCCATTTGTTATGAGACCGTTGTCAAGAATGACCTTAAAAGGTAAGGTACTTGTGAGAAATAAGATTAAGGAACATTACTGCAAAAATATTCGAGATACAAAAGATTCTTATTTATACAGATTGTATATGTACTTCACAGTTTGTAATATTGGTATATGAAATCAGGTGTTTGTGATTCAGATAATAGGGTTTGTGTATTGTGAAATGCAGAAATTATCAGATACAATGAAACTGTTAATACATTTTTCATATTTGTACGATAATTTTGTTATTATTTTTAATTTCGCTGCTACGCAAGCTACTTCAACTGTCCATTTTGGAAATTTGAACAAAACTACAGGATGAAAAAATAGGGGTGATAGTGTCGTCCAATGCAACTTTACATAATGATTACCAACATTGCATGAATACAAATTAGGTGTATTTAAAGGAAATATTGAAACTTGAATTAATAAAAAATTTGACATTTAGGCCTGTGTCACAAGAGCATTGTGCCAAGCTGATGTGTGAAGACCTCAGCTGTATTGATACGAATCGCCGCCTGTGCACATGTTGAGCTCACCTTTTGTTAGTAGTGGTAGGAGTAGAGTCAGGGATGTGTTACAATTTTGTTAGCAAAACAAATAAACAAAACAAAAATCTACAGTTTGTTTACCTGTACAAATAAGTTTCCTGTAACACAGGAGTGTAAATGTGTAATTTTCAAGAGCTAACTTCACTTTTTTTGAAACTTTTATTCATCATTCTGCTATTTATAGTTAAAATGTTGGGAAGATATTCTGGAGCTCAAGAAACCTTGCTCAGATGGAACTTCTCCCCAATGTCACATTCTTTTTTTACTGTTCTTTGACTCAAATCAAATAAATCAAAAGTTTCATTGGTAACAGTTCTTGCAAGCAGGTACTGGAACATGTCAGTGTTTATTATGTGTTTTAGTTTTTCTCATAATATTCAATTTTAATTATGCATTTTCTCACTTATACATTTTTCCCTTAAGTCCCCTGAAAAACCTATTAGTGAAGTTTTACTATAAATAGTGGATGGGTAAGCTGCTTGAAATCTGTAAGGGAATAATCCCAGGAAGTTATTAAATTAAATGTTCAAAAACAGGGTAATGAATATAAGCCACATAAAATGTCTTTCTACACAAGAAAGTGGGACATGCTTTGTCTAGAGTTGAGTTAATTTCCCCCTCTATACAAAGTTGTAGCACTCTGCATATTTCTGCTGTAGGTTTATCCTCAAACCTTTAAATCAATTGGAAGAAACTCATTTTTTGTTATTTTTATACCTTTTTCTTATCTATCCCTGAAATTATTTCTTAATATTTTTTTTCGAGATTTTTTTTTTTTACTTCTATGGGAAGGAGATTACTTACTTCATAGTAAGAAGCACCTGCTTGTAAATTATATTTTGTAAAGTTTTAACGATTGCAAATTCTGATGTATTTGCTTTAGTGAAGAAGACTATTTTTCTATTTAAAGGTTATTCAAGTTTTATTTTTGTTTTCATTGTTGAAAATTGTGTAATATATTTTCAAGAATAATAGAATATATATTCAACAAAAGAAAGCAAAAAAACAAAATTGCTATCATAATATGTAAATAGTAAACTTCCTAAACATTTAGATCTCATGGTGAAACCTCTAGACTGTCCCGGAAGTTAATGACTTGAAAGCTTTGAGTGTGTGTCAGTGTTCAAATTGATGCCCCTTATGTCTTAAGAGCCAGAGAGCTGTAAGCTAATTCATGGGTACTTGATGTGTTTATTCCTCAGCCCTTTACCTCAATTACTTGTTGAACCCACTGATAAATATAGTTTTTAAAAATGCAAAGAAAAAATAGTGGGGCAAGTGGTAATGTGGATCCCTGGCAGGCTTGTTACCTCGTGTACAAATAAGATATACTAGTATCCTGTTTACCAAAATTATATCCCTACTTTTCATTGTATTTCAGTCAGAAGCGCAATCGTAAATTAAATGTTATTTCATTATGTGCTTGTGTGGTTTGCACTGGCGTGGAAATTTAATTTACCAGATGGTAATTCCATACTTTTTTTTTTTATTAAAGTACTGGAGATTTGTTGTTTAAATTCTTTTCATTCTGTTTTGTTTTGCCAAATATTTAATAATATGGATATCTCAAAGGGAGACTCAACTATAATTTATTTAGAAAGTTGATGTTCAATATATTGATAATTTTAATTTCCAGCGTTATTGCTGTTCCTCACACTTCATTTTCTGTTGGAGACAAAATCACATTGCATCTGATGAAACGAAAAAGAGGATCGTTGATTGCATTACCTGTTAATCAAAGTGAAATTTGCCCAGCTGATAAGTTGTTATCGGTATCAGAGAAACAAGTGGATACAAAATATTCAAAATTACTTTTAGCTTCATCACAGGAGGTAAATACACATTTCATTTAAAATAACAACAGGCCTGCACAACTCTTGGGTAATTTCTCTGATATTAAAGAATTGAGAAGATTGCTAGTAATATTGCAGGTATTGGAAAGTAATATAATATTTTGCTCATGGCCAAGGAAATTCATCCTACTCTTCTGATTTGGGTTTTGTTGCTTTGAGGGTTTTGTTGCTTTGAACTACTGATCCTTAGACAAGAACCGAAAAGACTGCTTCTTATACTGTCGCTAAGAATTGTACAGTTTGATTGTATAATGTACTTGTTTGAAGTGCAACATTGATGGTGGAACTTCTCTAAAATGAAACAATTTTTAATGTTGTGATAATTAGGTAAAGAGCACGAGGATCAAGTAATTATTGAACAATTGCTTCACAGAATTTGGGTTGTTGGCTGCACTTACTGAAATTGTCTACTGAACAATAAAATTGAAAAAATGGAACATTAGAAGTCATCAAAAGTGTTCACCACATTTCCCACATTAGTTTATTTTGTTATAAATATTGAGATATGGCTACAAAGGGCACATAGGGAATTTAAAAACTGTATATTGCATGAGAATTATTGCAGAAAAACGAGACTATTATTCTGTTATGAAATCATTTATTTGTTTTTGTATGACATAACCGAACACAACATTTTAATCCTGTTGAAGCCCCCTCTGCAAATTTTTCAACGACATGACAATGATTGCTAATTTTTATTATCACAAGAATTGTTTGAACTGCTTGTAGGCTTGGAAGTAAGGTGCTACAAATAGCATTTTCTTCAACATACAATTTGGCTTTTGTATTTTTGAATTTTGCTCTACATTGAAAATAGAGAAAATAGAAATAAACAAATGAACAAGATTTGAATTCATGTTAGTTGCAATCTGAAACTGGCATACCTTGCCGCAATTTTTTTTAACACAAATGTTTCCCGTGACTGTGTAGTACATTGTTGTGCAATTTGAGAACTTCATTATTTTCAATGTATGGTTGTACTGAATTCTACAATATTTTTATAGTGACAGCGCTAAGGGTAGATGATAGATTGCTAATGTCAGACATTGCTGTTTTGAAGAAGAAAACTAAAGATATTGGATTTGTTTGCCCTTTAAACATTTATGCATGCTCCTGTAATATTAAAATCATATCTTGGCTTCAAATGAGGTTTCAGGTCATTTCTAAAATGTTGCTACAATAAATATGAATGGAACCTCCATTTGTAGGTTGTGTGCTTTTTGTAGCTGAATGGCAACACCCAAGCATATATCTCCCAACATTTTACTTAACTCCATTTACTGTGATATTCTCTTCAGTAAATAAACACTTCATCAAAATGCAAAATGAATTGACCTCATAAATTCTCCATTAGCATGAAATTCAACAAATAGTAGAAATCTTGCAGTGCTGTGAATAAAATCTGCATGCCCAACAAAGAGGAAACAACAGAACAATATCTGCAGAACAAATGTATGTGGTGGGATCTACTGTTAAATGCTTCAAATAAATTGAATGTATAGAAATCATGTTGGTTAAAATGATGTTCGAAGCTGTAAAGTCGGTTCAAGTGTGATGTAGCCATATGGTTACAGTGGGCCTGAAAGGATTAAGTGCCTAGAAACTTCTTGCATGAAATATAACCCTATGAGACTATTGAATACTTGCTATGAACTGAAAAAATAAGATGTAATTAAATATTATTAGGTATCGGTTGTAAGCAATGTACTTCAAGATGACCATTTTGTAATGACGATGGGTCTTGTACAAGAATTACCGCAAATACTAATTAAATTTTCTCAAAAATAATAAAAATGTATTACCTGTGGCATTTAATGTTATTGAAAATACTAGTTTTCAGTTAGTAATCAAAATGTATTAAACATCAGTACATTAGGTTTATGAAGGAGCTTCATGTCTGAGTAACAGCAAGAGATATGACAATTTTCTAATTATGTGCTTTGTAACATACTTCCCGCCACATACTATTTACAATGTGAACTTGGCAATGAAAAAGAGAGGTGTGATGAAGCTATGAAATTTCAAAGGCTGCATCGTGGCTTGAGCAATCCCTCTAATTATTGAGAAAAAAGCTTTTTAATATTGCTTCTTAGTAAAAATAATTCAGTCTCCTTTCAAAATTTCTCAAGTCAATGATACACTGAAGATGTATTTTGTGGCTTTTTTTTTCCCCAATTTTCATTGTGCAGACCTGCGGTTATATTATATATAGATATGGAGGTGTGGATCCACATGGAGGGAAATTTCCCCCCCTAAAATTTTCAGTAACTATTAATTTTAACTTGTCTCTAAACTTTCAAGCAGAAATGTTTTTGGATCATTATTAAAATGAATAAAATAGTATCACAGCATGAGCTGAATGTAGGTGATGACATTTTACAAAATTTGTAAAAAGGCATATTTGATGAAAACATTTTGAATTTCCTCTCTCAAAATTCGTCTTTGGATCCGCCCCTCTAATGATATAAGTAATTTTTCATCTGGTCATTGTAATTAATGAAATGTTGCTCGTTCTTTAGGTGTTTTCTATTATTGATAAAGAAATGCAGGAATTAACTGCACAGTTGCAAGAAGTAAAAGGATGTCCAGAAGCATGCTTTGTTGAACAAGCTTTAGAACTGTTGAAGGAGAGGGCAGCTATTTGTCGGGGTGAACAAGTTCTATTTCAGCACCCTGTTTTGTCAGTCTCAGAAATGACAACTGGTGACAGTGAAATGGTTAGTTGATATTAAATTCTTTAACGATTCCTTTAGTAAATTTTCATCTCAAATGTTTTCATTTCAAAGAGTTTCTCTATTTTCTGTAGTTTCCTATGTGTGAATCTTTGGAAGATGGAAACAGTGTTGCACTGGATGCAAGTATTGAAAATTCGGGAGGTTTTTTTAATCACCCCCTTGTAAATGATATAAACCAGAATTTCACTGATAAATATGACATTGGTTCAGTTAATCATCAACGTTATGAAAGTGTGAGTAGTGAAGGGGTAGAAAGTGAGGATGGTGCAATCACTGTTGAAGATATTGAATTACCTCAGACAGACCAATTGGCATCTGCACTGGAAGGATCATCAACTAAAGATTTCTACTTTTACCAAGGTTTGTGGTGTGAATGTGTGTTATTTTGGTGTAAGTGTGTGTTTTAAAGTTCATGTAAGCGTGAACCATCTAAACTTATAAAGTAATGGTCTTACAAGAGAAGTACATCAATGGAGCTTGATTGCTTCAATTTCAAACAGGTTGTGACCATTTTCATTGGCTGGCTAGCATGTAGGGATTGATCATTGGTTAAAATAACATCAAACGACATATTGTTGCACCTACAAAGAAAAGTCAGTTGTTAAGCTCTTAGTTCAATAAAAATTATGGCAGACATGCATACCATTTATTGAGTTCCTTAAAATAAAGAAGAAGTGATGTCTGGTTATGAGTAAAATTTGGTGCATTAAAACATAGTTTGATCTTAGAAGAGAGCTTTTGCATGTATGCAGTGTTGGGTTTTACTTCAATCCACAAAGTACGCTGATCACAAATGAAAATTTCTAGTTTGTGCTGGTTCCCTTGCAATTTTGTAACATAATTCTAGATTTCATTTATGAATGTTATTGGACAGAACTGATTAGTGAGGTGGTGCAGACTGAAGTAGCATCCTTTTTCATAAGTTAGATTTGCAAAAAATATTTTGAAAACATTTTATAATGTACATAAATACATAACCTTATGAGAAAAAAGTTTTGCTAACTTAGTTTACTTTGGGCATGTAATGCACACAATTGAAATGTCATTCAGAGAATCGAGAAAAAGTTGAGGGAATTGGAATTGCTGTGGGGAGAATGGATTTATGTTATCTTCTTTCCTTGTTGTCTCGCCAACTGCTTACACTGTATAGAAAAATCATTGTAATGTTCCGAGAAAAAAAAAATGGCAAATTTGTGGCAGAAAACTTACTGATCAGGGGTAGCGATGAATAAGTGGATAAATCTTGTTCCTACGAAGGTTGCCTTTTATGTTTCGGAATTTGGCAACCTTGGTGTTGCAATCTGGCAACTGACAGCTCTATCGTAAAGTTGGATGTTTTGAAGTTATATGTACTCAGAACGTATTGACATATGAGCGCTATTTGTGTTTTTCTTTCTTTTACTTTTTTTTTAAGGTCGCATCAACTTCTAGGTCATTGGCGACCACTATTGCGTGTAACGGTATGGTAACTATGAGGATGACATATGATGATGATAGGGGTGTGAAAGGAGGAACATGATACAACCATGCCCGAGGCGGGACTGGAACCCGCAATCCTTCGGTCCGAGTTCGCTACGGCACTACTGCCTTAGCGATCTCGGCCATCCGGACCGGCTATTTGCGTTGTTTATAGTAACTTAAAAGATTCATCTTGGCCCAAAAATGGAATTAAATCGTGAACATTTTCGTGCGATTATTTTTGACAACTTTCGTCGTGGATTAACTCAGCAACATTGCATGGATGAACTTAAATCAATTTTTGGCGATCAAGGACCAGTGTTTATCGATGGTATAGTGAATTCAATCGTCGTAGTTCACTCCAAGACAAATTTCGTGAAGGTCGTCCAAAATCAGTTGTTGTTCCAAAAACCATTGATGCTGTGCGTGAACTGAGATTGCAAAACAATTGACCTATCGTGAGATTGAGACAACCTTAGGCATTAGTGTGACCAGCATACATTCAATAATGCATGAACATTTGACTTTCAAAAAAATTTGTTCGCGTTGGATACCACACAATTTGTCAATCGCGCAAAAAAAGACTCGTGTCGATTGGTCGACAGAAATGCTAAAAAAATACGATCGCGGTGCTTTGAAACACTTCTATGACATCGTGACAGGTGATGAATCGTGGATTTACGCGTATGAGCCCGAAAGTAAAAGTCGATTGTATAAGTGTTTCAAGATGAGCAAAATCCAACAAAAGTTGTTCGCGCACGAAGCACTTACAAACAGATAGTCGCCTATTTTTTCGGAAAAACTGGACATGTCGCAACCGTACCACTAGAACATCGCAGAACAGTCAATTCTGAGTGTTACACGATTTGTTTGCCAGCTGTCTTTCAAGAAATCAGGAAAACCAACCGCCGAAGACGGATCACTCTTCACCACGACAATGCGAGCTCTCGCACATCGGCTCAAACAACTGCATTTTTGAGCACCCAAAACATCGATTTGACGAGTCACCCTGACTTGGCATCGAATGACTTCTTTTTATTTCCGTACTTAAAAACAAACTGAGAGGACAACGTTTTTCGACACCTGAAGAAGCGGTTGCTGCATTCAGAATGCATGTTATGGCTTCAACAATTAGTTCAAATGCATGTAGAAGTGTATAGATCTTCATGGGGAATATTTTGAAAAACGATAAAGTGATTTTCGATGATTAATATTTGTTAATGTTCTCTAATCCTGAAATATAAAAGGCAACCCTCGTATCGGTAGTAAATTGCTTACTTTAACACATGTAGTCAAAATTCATGTTTTATATGCCCTTAATACCAAAAAATTGATTGATGGCAAAACTTGTTGGTCTATCTGTAAACAATACTAGCAGCTAACTACAAGCAGGATTTTCGCCAAAATATATATATTCCTCGATCAATCTGACTGATGTTACAACTCATTGAATTTGAAACAATTTTAATTTTGGGTGAACTTTAAGGTATCAATAACATTTTTAAAAAAAATTCCTAAAAATGGCTTTTTTTTAAACACATATTTTGACCTTGTAAGACACTTAAAGAAATGGCATAGGTTGCATTTTTGTTAAACTTCCTGAATTTTGGAAAATGTCAAAAGTTTAAAAAATCCCCCCCATCCTCTTCCATCTATAATATTTAAGATATAATTTCTTTTCTTATAAAACATCCTCAAAAACATCTTCAAATGAGGTCATATTAAATTTTAAAAAATTGCAAAAAACAAACTTTGCAAAACTACAATATTGATGATAGAAATTTTCTTCATCTGTTCTTTAAAATGTTCAATCAAATGTTCTTTTAAAAAGTTCATGTAAATGTTTTTATAAGTGTGAGTAGTATAGCATAAATTTTGTATCTCTTCAAAATTTGTAAATTTGAATTTCCCACTTTTTATTTACTAGAGTCTTTCACAGGATATCAGGAGTCAATGTACATTGCAATGCTGTGCAGATACTCAGCAGTTTGAAGTTTTGAGAATTCCTTTTCATTGATGGGAGAGGATTTTGGCTGTAAAAGACAAGATTTATTGTTGAATTTGTGTTGATATTAGTTTTAAAAGAATTAGTTTTTTCATCTAATATTTGATGATGAGTTTTATGTTAGTGATGTGTGAAGTGAGATGTGGAAATGGCCAGGAATTGCAGTTTTGAAATATTATGTAGTTAGATTAATAATGATTTTGATTTTTTTTAAAGGTTAAGGAATGTTTTATACAGTTGGTTTAATACAAGTTAATTGAATTGCAGCTGCTGATGGTCAGCATGTGTACCTCCATGCTCTGAATATTCGTATGCTTGTGCACTTTTATGGAGGTCTGAAGGATTGTCCTCTGATCTTGACTGGTCAAATTGTAGAAAAAGAAGCTGGTTCTATGACTGAAGAGTTACGACAGAGACTTCGATATTTGCAACACCTTCCAATTACTTGTCAGTTTGAAGTAGTGGAATTACAATTGAGGCCTCCAATTGTGAATAGAGAGACCATAGATTATTTTCAAGGTATATAAAGTTACTTGTATTTGTGAGTAGTTCCATGGTGTAATCTTTTTGGCTTACAAATTACACCGAAACATTCTGTAGCTATGAAAGTGTCTATCCTGCTACAAATTATAAATTTCTTTCTTTGTATGGTGGTTGTTGGTGGTTAATTATTGATAGTGATTTGTTTGAAATAGATCAGCTGGAAATTCGTAAACGCCGGCGTCTCCGAAGAGCTCGTGATGAACGTAGGCGAGAGAAGCGCATAAATGAACAGGAGAATAAACATTGGGGCAGGCTTCCTGCTCCAGACATTTCTATTGATTCACATTTTCAGTTTCCTTCATGTGGTGTGGAGGTGGAAAATATTGGGTAAGAATTTTCTTCGTTTCTTTGCCTTACTTCCCACATCAGTTATTCAGATTTTAATGCAACTTCAGAACCACGGAAAGCTTCATTGTATATGCTAAATTCGAAGTGTTTTTATCTCAAAAGAAGTGCTAGGGATCAAAATAATAGGCTCCCGAGGACATCAGGTGGTCGTTCGTGAGATGTAGACTTCTGACCAGTGCAGCATATGTGTGTCCCTCTGCTCAACAGAAACCATTGACAGCTGCAGCTCCTCAAGGACTGCAACTCCTCAAAGACAAAGCATTCGAGGAGAAAACACCTGCAGATATTTTGCCAATAATGCATCACTAATGGATCTACTGGTGGCTTATTTGAAGTGATTATAATAAATGAAGATTTATAGTGAAATTATTGTTTCTGCCCACAATCTGCTTCCAAAAGTGTAAAAGATGAGAATGTTTTGGTAATACAGTTTCAATGTTAACCTATGGACTATTTAAGTTGCATAAAATCTGAACCTCTGATCCTAAGTTTGTTGCATCTGATAAATCTATAAATTGTAATGTATAATAGTACATTTAAAATAATTCTAAATTCTATTGTTTGAAGATCAAATATTCCTGCACCGACACCATCTAGTTCAGGGAGCAGCCCAGCTCATTCATATGATGTATTTTCTTCAGTATCTTCAGCATTGGAAAATGTGTCTATTGATGAAAACTCGCTTCCAGAATTTTCAACCAGCCCGGAAAGTAAAAATAATGGTTCTTCATCTGGACCTTCGTTTGCACAGGTGGAGTGAAGATTAATTATTATTTGCATTTTTTGTATATTGATGGCTAAATTTTAACAACATTTATCTTTATAAAATATATTGTGAATTTTCAATAGAGGGGGGGGGGATATTACAGTCTCCATTACAAACTAATAAAAATATGACCAATTTCAATCATTTTAACAAAATTCAGTTCATTTTTGTGCTAGGTGATGTTAGAATTCGGTAGATATCTTTCAGGTGGTAGCAGGTCGATATGCTGATAACTGATTTGTTAAAGTTAATCAGGATAGATCCTGTTTCTGATGTGAAAACATAATGTGAATATAATAAGCCAGATTAGAGATGAGCTTGAGATTAGATCTACTTATCAGAAATCAAATCGTCTCTTCAATATTTAACTGGGTCCAGCCTCCCTATAGTTTTTGTTGTGTGATTCTCTAGCAGTTAATGATTTTGGTCCATGAAACCTGCTTCAAAGTCGTACAAGAATACAGGGGAAACTTGGATTAAGGAACGACTATTGATTCCAAGAGAAGTGGGTATTTTGGAGGGCGTGATTGCTTTAAATGGGGGATCTTTATTCACAAAAAATTGTTTATTGTTATCTGACATCGGATGTTTGGGAATGTGCTTATTTTATTTTAATGAGCATATTTAAAATCTTTAAGTAAATGTTCATAAATTTTGAGAAATGAAACATTTTTGCAAAATTTTATTATGCCTATTTTGATGTAAATCCCTTTTTAGACATTTTACTATCTTTCAAATGCTTAAAATATTGTCTTTCTTTTCATTAAAAATAAACATTTAATTCCTTTTCAGTTTTAGTATTTCAATAGTGGTCTATAGGTATCGGACCTCTATTTTCTAGATTGGGCATTTTTAAATGCAGTTTTGAGTGCTTTTAAATGCTATGCCCAGCAATTCTTTAATAAGGATCACTTTACAAAAAAATTTAATTGTTTCTAATTATACATTATGCATTACATTCTTAAGTCAAGATGATAGCAAGATTTCCTGCTTTAAATTGTTACAACATTCATGTGTAGGTCTTGGTAAATATAAAACATATCAATTATATTTTGAAAACATATTTATGTTGTTCCAGAATTTGTTAACTTCTTTTATTTAATTGCCATCGGAGAATAAGTAGCGATGACATGAAATGGTATTTATTGGATTATTGATTTTCCATGTAGTTCATACAGTTTACAAAATGTGTTCGGTGAACAGATCCAAATGGTTTCATTATTTTATGTAGTAAGAAGATCATACCAGCAAGGCATATTGAAGAATTTGTCCTACTAAAGTAGTACAACACACTATATCATTGGTCTCCCAAGTTTTCACTCGAGAAAATGAATAAAAAATTATTTTCATAAATCTTAATATTTGGAACTATTTATTTGATATTTAATGCTAAAAAGGAAATTAAATTTCAACCTAGAATAAAAAATAACTCCTAGATTGCGATGTTTTTTACTTTTTCGTTAATAAATTTACTTAATGGGGGGGGGGAGGAATTCATTTAAATATTTGATAGAGCCGATGATTCTATGGTATACGCCAATGATATAAGGTAATGAAATATATCAAAGCGCTTTCAAATTCAAAAAGAAAGGGAACATTTTTTCATAATCTTAATAAAAATAACTTTTCGCAATTTTGTTTGTTAACTGACAGTAACTACATATTTAATTAATTTAACAATTTACAACTACTATCTGGAATTACCTCCTTCAATTTTCAAGTAAACAAAAGTCCTTCCTTAAGGTCCATTTCCATATGTTTTCTTCACTATATCATCTCTTCCAAATATTCTACACCATTTACTTTCATAATACTTTCCTCAAAAATACCATCATCATTACATTGCATTTCTTGCATTAAAATTTTCCACTAAGTTATTTCCACTGAAATGCTCTATTAATCATGTACGTCTTCCCTCCAGGATGTAAATTTTTACTCTCATTGCTCATTCATCTGTCTTCTTCAGTTGACTATCTTCATGACATCATTACATTGCTGATTTATGATTTTATCCCAGTAGACAGTGTCTATACATATTGTCTTAATTGATAAAATATGGACAAAATATTACATCTAATTTTGACTCTTTACAAAATCTTTGAACTGCGAGGCACTTCATAAAATGTGATCGTTCATTAAGGTGGTTCTATTTCCACTCTGACATAACAGTGATTGTTAAATAAATAGAAAGTATTTTATTTAATTTCCTCACAGAATTTTAAGATCATTGAAAAATGACAAGGATGTTGTTGTTGTTGTTGTTGTTATTATTATTATTATTATTATTATTATTTACATTAAAAAGGATATTATACTTCTTTTCTGAGTATTTTTGGAACTTTTAATGGTCCCTTATATTCACTTTCATCAACATATTCCATTTACTTTCTTTTATTGGTATGTATATACTGAGTAATAAACATAGTATGGAGAAAGTAATGTAATACTGCAGAAAATTGTCTTTGAGATTTCAACGGAAATACAAGTTTGGTGTCCCTTGATACTGCGAAAGTGTTATTTTATTAAAGAAAAAGCCTGTCTGTCTCAGTCCGTCTGTGAAAACCACTAGCAGCTAAACCATGGGAGGGTTTTATTTCAAAATGGATATTCCCTAATATGACTCAACTTGAAGCTTTGCAACTTTGAAAAACATTCCTTAACAACAATTCATTCATGAAAACCCTGGGATATTTTCAAAATTTTCTCAAAAAGTCGCCAAATTATTTATTTAAATTTTTTGAAAGAATAGAGGAAAATACTCATATAAACATGGCATAGGTCCATTTTTCATTTTTAACTCTGAATTTTTGAAAATTTTAATTTTTTTGGCTTATTCCTACCATTACAAAATTGAAGGTAGAGATTTTTCCTTAAAGTGAAATTCCTCTGTAGTTGTTGCATTGAGATCATGTACATTTTTTTGACAATTTTAGTAGTTTTTAATGCAGTATTTCGTACAGATGTTCTACTTAAGAAAATTACAAAAATAAGATTTTATAATTTTATTAGATGACATAAATGCCATCTTTTTAAACTGTATTAAACCATTTTGATAAAAAAATTTACCAAAACTTTTATCAACATTTTTTGGATGACATATTTAAGGAAGAATGTTTGTGGATTTACCCAGTAGAGTATTAACATTTTTTAAGCAGCAGGATTTGGATGTAGGACAATGAAATTTTGTAGTCTGCAGAAATTTAAATCAAAAAAATATTTGTTATTACTTACAATTATTATAATAAGTAATAATGTGAATTATTAAATAATGTGATTTTGAATTTTTTTAATATTCGGCTTTACCAAAGTACACTTTTCTGAAGGAAAAAACCTTTTTCAATCATTTCATACATTTCATTTGAAACTTTGCAGAACAGTTCATGAAATTCATATAAACAAATGGTTGTAAGAAAATTTTTAGGTAGTTAGTATTAGTTATATATGGCTAAATTAATGTTACTAATTAATAATATTTATTAAAAATTAATGTTTTAATTAAATTTTTAAAAATTCCGTGGTGGATCTAAACAATTTTTGAAAAAATTCTTTCACACAAATTGTTTTCTTTATATATCGTGACTACATACAACATTTTAAAATTATATGTAGAATACGTTTTTGAGCAAATAGTACAACTTATAAAATGAATGTTAAAGGAAATCTCTTGCAAATGTTGAAGATTCATTTGTGGAACATTACCTTCATCAAAACTTTTATTTTATTTTTTTACTATTATTACCTCTTCATGGAGTTTCATTCTTTACAAAATAAAAATATTTTCTTTTACACATATACTTCAGAAAGTATTTACAGGTCTATTATTCTGAAACCAATATTTTCTCCTCCATCTGTAATTTGCATGCCTACTGAAGTTTAAATCTTGATGCTACGCTGCAATTTTATTTAAATTTTAAAGGTCTTCCCATAACATGATTGGTGCAAAACTGAAGAATGTACTAAAATCTATGGGGAATAATATGAACCTAAAAAAAAATCAATTTTATTTTTTATTGATATGTTAAAGCTTATTGCCTTCGATACAGAGTTTGATATATACCCTATGACTTACCTGGATCGAGAAGACTGTGGTTATGAGGGAAATATGAAAACAGTTCAATGATGCTACATGTTTTCTTATGGACAAATTATGGGGGGGGGAATGCAAAGACAAACTGAGTAAAGTTAGCATATAGTTAATTAGTAAATCAGAATAAATAAAATTAGGTAAAAAATAAAATTATGTACCACGGGCGTTAACTGTCTCTGATGATCTAGGGCCAAAGGCCCTCGGGTGTGTAGTTGCTGCTTGGTCATTGGTCATTTGAACCCTTACAATGCCTGTGGTACATAAATATCTATTTTCCACCCTTAAATATTTCGAGTAATAATTTGTGACGTGAATATGTAGTGTGCTCTATAATGTAGAGAAACTTTTTATGAGATCGATGAAACAAATAGTCTTTTAGAAAGAAAACAAACAGGAATTCTTTCTGTATGTGAATCATCAGATGACTTCCCTTGTTTACAATTGTTCTAATTTCTGTAGTATGCAGTGGACTGCATCAAAGACAGTTAATTGTGTTTAATGTTTACATGTAATGACATGTTTATTAGTGTTTAATTTTATTTTGTGACAAAAATAATACTGCTGATTAAGTGATGTGAGTTGTTAATGTTAAAGATCTTGACAATATTGAGTGTACATTATTTTAAAACTTGTTTTCTTCTGACAGATTAAAAAATCTTGTAAGAAATGTTTATCATTACTTTTTGTAGCATTCAGTGACTGGATAGTACTTTTAAAAATAGTGTTGTGGATAACATTTTTTTAATGGGACAAAATATAATTTCTTAGTGTAGAAAACAATAAGTTATATTTTCAACAGATGCTTCGCAGTGGAAAAAGCAAATGGCCTTCTGTCAGTGAGAAGAAAAAGCATAAAGAGCATCACATGCTTGGACAAAAGCAGTATGCAGGTCCAGATAGTGATCCAGAATATGAAGGATATACTCCTGTGAAACAGAGCTTTGGTGATGCTATTGCTGAAGCAATGGAAAGAGCAGCAGCGATGGCTGCTGCATCTACATCAGCAAAAGATGAGATGCAAGGTAAAGTCTATGACAATGACTTCTCGATTTAAAACGCTATAATGTATGTCTTATTTCCTGCTTAACCTATGTATAAAAAATGGGGATAGTTTATTGAAATGAAATGTAGTTGACAGTTCATAATAGAATTAAAATATGACATCTGTTTTGAATAATGTGAGAAATTGTGGACTATAGTGTAACACAACAAGGTCTTCTAAGTTCTCATCTTTGGTACAAATTATAATTTTAATTTCAATTTTTTAAATTTTTTATTTTCAGATGATCCTGGAAGTTCTGGAAAGAAGAAAAAGAAACAAAAGCAGAAACTTTTGTTTGCTACTGGTATGGCATGTATCAGTAAATAATTTGTTGGCCTGTAGTTTTATGTCTGCCACAATAATCAATAGCCATGCTACTCAACCCTAACTATTCAAACACTTCATAGATGTTTTATCAAATAATTTCTTCTAATGAATTTTTTCAGAATTAATTTTATAAAGTGTTTTGCAGCAAACATTTGAAGAAACATTTCAATTCACAACTATCTTTAATTTTACTGCTGCTATAATTTGAAACAGTAAATTATAATATTTTTCCAATGGTTATAAACTGTATTGTCAACTGCATTTGTGTTATTGCTGTACAGAATGAGGTTGCCTATGGTGGAGTGTTACATGTTGTGAAGGTGGTGTTGTTATTTTCTCTGCTGTACCATCTATTCCACATCGAAAATTTCTTAGGAGTTGCGATATCTTCCATAAAGTCTCCCTGAAATCATTGTGAAAGTAAAAGAATTTCTTCCTTGCAGTTCAGATGATATACTACTCTTCTAACAAAATGTTTTTCATGCTGTCTGGAAATTTCAAAAATTAATTTATTTAATCTGTGATGTCAACAAAGATTAATATTTCAAGTCTTTATGTTGTTCAGCAAGTGCAAAACAATTTAATCATTCTGTTTTTGTCTACTGGGAACTAAGTACAATAAATGTTTCTTTTGTTTAGTTCAATTCAGTGCTCCACATGCTGATTATGTCATTGAAGCAAGGATAAAATAAATGGACTATTTAGTTTCTTTGTTACTGGTAAATTTAGTTCTGAAATTCAACCAAATTCCTGAATGCCTTAAGTCAATAATAAGCAATATTCCTTGACATGCATATTATGTTGTGCTGATTGACAGGGACTGTTCCTGCTCTCTATCTATTTAATATAATTATAAAATAAATCAATCTTAGTATTGATTGAGTGATCAGGTTGTCTTAAAATCTTTCTTTTGGATGTTAAAATCAATGTTTTGTTACCACTAGTACAAAAAATAACATTTGGTCCGAGCGCTATTTCCTAGAAACGTGTCCCCCACTTCCCTGAGATCCTAAGTTTTACATGGCCACCTAAGATTGCCTACCTGGCTCGTTCTTAAGTGACATTTGTGGTAGCTAGACTGTAGAAATATGTTCTAAAAACTTAAACCACATGGTAAATGAAGTACAGCCTGGTTCAGCGCACTCATCAGTGTTATTTACATTACATATAGGCACAGTGACTAGAGGTAACAATTCCCTCACCTTCAGGCACAAGATCTCATGATGCCAGTGCAGAAATGTTATGCATCACCACTTGCTTGAGAACAATCATAATTTAATAAAAATTTATATATTTCTGTACAATAGACAGGTGGTTTGCCAATTATATTCCCAATTCAATTACAATCCACATTGTATGATGACAATCATTGATTCTAACTAGCCATAACAATAACAAAAAACAATAATGATCACTTGCAATAAATGCGGTTATAAAGATAAAGAACAAATTGAGGAAAAACTATGAACAAAATTTACATTTGAAAATGAAGTTCATTTTAATAGAAAACCATTTTCTCCAGCTCTGGCATTTGATACAAGGCAGTTGAAAGTCCTCTTGTGAACTATTTAAAGGTAGTTTTTAATGTTGGTGTCATTTTCATTATTTTAATTTCTGATAGTGGCGAAATACATTTTCAATTAGAATTATTGTCAAATGTGACTGAAAATGCAAATTTATGACCAATGCACACATTAAATTATTTATTTTTCCTAATTTTGCATTGCACATGGAAAATTTTCTTGCGCATTTCCAAAAATATTTTATGCTATGATTTGCTGAGCTATTTGTACTTTAAAAAATAGAAGAATGATACTGAATGGTGAGAATCAGTTGTTTTTGCTTTGAAGAGAAAAAGGTAGGTCACAAGATTAGAGGGAGTGGTGTCTTCACAGCAAGCGAAGGAACCTTGGTGCTCACCTGGCAGAACAACTTAACTTGAAGATGATGATCTACTTTTGCATTAAGAGAGGGAAAAAAATGAATAAAATTAAAAAAGAAAAGGCAAAGTTTACCATCGGAGATTCTACAGCTTTTGCTGTAGATTTTCCAGTCCCAAAAACAATTCTAAAGGTTATGCACATTGGGTTATGCAGTGTCAATGATACACTAAAAAAGTTATACAAAATGCTCAATTTACTTCAGCTATGCTGCTTCAAGCAAGAACAGTATTGGAAATGACCCAGCAATTGACAAAGTTAGTTTTAGACTTGGGGTTGAGATTCCATTTCTGTAATTCAGATTTTACTTTTGTAGAATTTTTAAACAGTTTAAACTGTATGTACTGTCTCCTCAATCAGGGTTTTGAGATTTTTGAGGCCGAATGCACTTATCAGTGAACCTTTAAACTGGAACTGGAAATTACCAATGAAACCAATTAATTTCAATCAACAAATAATCTCAGCCTCACAAATGCTGCCTGAGCAATGCAATTAACTCATTCATGTAGCTAATTAAGTGTCGTATATTTTCAGTTTAATAACTTGCCAGGTTGATGATTAAAAACAAAAACACAAACACAAACCAAAAATATTCCTAAAGCCAAAATTCCCTTCTCAGAGCAAGAACAAGTTGGTTATTAATATTAATTTTCTCTTTTAACTATGATAAAAACAATGAAAATAACAGCAACTGGGAATGATTATCATTGGTAATCATTTAGGAAGATATAAGGTTGCTCTACTTCATTTGTCACATTAAGTTATGAATGTATTTATTGATTTATCCAAAATACATAGGCAATCATCAGACTATGAAAGAATATTCAATTTTAAGATAGAGACCCAAATTCACAGAAAGTAGTCAACTGGAGTCATTCAAAAATTCACTTTGTAATATTATGAATTTATAAATTTGAGCATGACATAAATATTTGCGATTTGACCCACCCTCCAGGAAGGTGCAAGGAAATAACTTGGTTTTAACCACAGGTACAAAAACATCATTCGCAAAAGCTGCTTTACTAATTTCCAAAAGATTAACAAATCATTTAAAAAACAAGAAACTGAAAATCAAATTCCTGATTTTAAGGAAGTGATATTTACAATGGATTCTTTTTTTGCACTTTCTTTGCAAGGGAACCATATTTTAAAGACATTAAAAAAGAACTGGTTTAAACTAAAAAAAGAAAGTTTTTCTAAACTTACTGAAGTTTGAAGGTATGAAAGCTCAATTTGACAGTCCCAACATAAATTCAAGCAATTAAGATTCAAACACTGCAATTTCAATTATTCAAAAAACTTCATTTTGGAATAAAAACAATTTAGTACTTCAATTCACCAGTTCTAGTTAATGACAAACCTGTAACTATATTTAATACATGACATCCTACTATTTTGTATTTTGCAACCAGCTAAAAATTTATTAGAATTACAGCAGAATAATAACAGATTTTGCTGAAGATTCACACACAATTGTCATACAAATGTAGTTCAGTAGTTGTGATCATCTGCAAATAATGAAAACAAGCAATTCAGTTTACATTGTAAGTTATTCTTTACAAAACTAGTTCTAAATGGTGTCGGGGGGGGGGGATGACTAAAATAACATGTTCAGATATGTCTTGTATTTGACATTGTGTGTTCTGCAATCAAATATATTTTTATCTGATTCAAGAAGGGTCCACAAATTTCCAATTTATATAATGTGTCAGGGGAAAATGATTGCCTGTATTAACTACTTTACTGACATTGGTAATTGATAGAAACATTTAATTCCTTAATATACTACAAATGATTTTTCATCTAAACCAGTTATGTTGGAATTTAATACTGTCATCAACTTATTAGGTAATGAAAATATTGGGGAACTTCAATTCATATTTGATGTCCTAAGATGATTCCTCATGCTCAAGACATGCTCAAAATGTAATTTTTTATTCGTACTTAGTTATCATTTCAACATAGCTTTTCTGCATTGTTGCTTTTACTGAATGAATATCTTCAAATCACATTCTCTTGAAATGCCTTTTTGCAATTTCACCACTTTCCTCATGGACCATGGTCTGAAAAAGAAAACAACACTCATTTTATTTTTGTCTCTTTTTCTTTTTTTTTTTTTTTTTATTCGGACTATATTACAGTTGTAAAGATAAACATCTTGCCAAAAGTACACCATCCTCTGAGAACGTGTATGTTCTTGTAACTTTTGATCCACTAGGTGTTTCCGTCTCAGTCACCAGCGAGTCCCCATCCTTAATTGTTTTACACTGAAACATGAATAAATAAAATAAACGTTTAATTAAGTCATGTACTTTACTTATCAACTTTTACTACAGGAGACATGCCTTCAGAGCATCGCCACTAGGCATCACTTCGTTGTACTCTTCTCCCAATATAAAAGAAACTTCATGGGTGCGTAACATTGTAATGGTTTTAAAAGTCCATTTACCATCTTCACAATTAACTTCCAGTAACGGACTTGACATTTGCATCATTTTCCGGCCAATATATGGGACACCTGCACGAACGCGAATGTTAATAGTTAAATCTCAATACACTCATTAGTTCTCTCATTTTCACTTACCAACGGCCCTGAAATATGCGTCTAAGTTTTCATTTTTTTCGTGCTGATATTTTCCTTCAATTTGCACCATAATACTAATTATTTTGTTATTTAAAAATATATATTAAAATGAATGTAACAACAGGTAGAATTATGACGTTTTACAGATGTATTTAGAAGATGCAGCTGTATCTCCGATGCAGCAGCTGTAGCATCCACGTGATTCTCGACGTTGTCCATTATGGAAATAAGATATAATAAGTAAGATAAACAGATAACAGAAACAAAGATGATGCCTGTTGGTATTGAAATACAATAGTATTAAATTTGGAATTTGTGTTTTTAATATGTACGTTACTTAACAATGTAATTGCATGAGTCTAGTATTTTGTAATATTTGACACTGAATTGCTCAGATAACATTATATTCTCAAAGAAACGTGGTTTTAAGAGTTAATATTATATTAAATTGAGAAATAAAAATCGGTATGAAATAAGCGTTCGAAGACGCTTTTTCTCGTCGAGTCCTCGCCTACTTTATACTCATTCCCCTTCGATTGTCATAAGAACAGAAATTCAGATGGATGGACCAAAGAGTGTATCAAATCACCAATGGGCTGGATAAACAAAATACACCGAGAAGTTCCTCCTTTGCCAAAATAATTTTGTGCTCTTCAGCACAAATTAACAATATTCAAATTCGTATTCCAATATCACGTAGTTCTAAAAATAAGTCGGAAAGTGGTGAAGAAATCGATTGATGATCGACACAAAATATGTGTATCATTTAATTAAACTTTCTTCATTAGCGTAACTTATTTTCTTGTTATGGAGGATCTATTTGAAGGCAAATGTCAGAATTAGGAAAAGGAAATACCATCTTTACCAATATCTAATTGTGCAAAGTATTTCCTCTCCTGAGACATGCTTCTTTTTGTATTGAGGTCCTCTATCGAAGATAAGATATGGTAATTTGTAAATTCTATTTTACAATGTAACGAATGCAACAAACACATTCCATTAGATATAGAGGATTCTTTTCGCAGATAGGGCATGTTTTCGTTCTCTCTTTTGCTTTCCGACCGAAGGCGTAGTAACACGTCTGTAATATTAAAGTAAAGTGCATTTTACAGTTTTATTTGTAAAGAATAATAAAAAATGTCGTCTAATGTCATTGTACTATTTTGTAACTTAAATACGAAACATTTCTGAGAAGACACGTCGTGTTACAAGGATCTATTTTTTGTCTTTAGTTAGTGACTGACGCCATTTTCTGAGTGGACAAGGGTGCGATACACGAAGTCACGAAGTTCTCCAAAGGAATTTTAAAGGATTTCGAACGAGAAGGGAAGAGTATACTCTGGTTATCGGGTACGTATGGGCAAAGTGCCTGGTTCGTGTATTTTAGGCATCTTTCATGTGTAAATTTTCTAAGTGTAGTTTCATTGTGCATGTTTTGGGTGTGGTATGATATAGCGGTCTGTCAAACCCGACTCTCAGAATTTGTTTACATTGGTTTCCCTCTTACGTGTTTGTACTCTCATATTATAATAGAATTAATAGTAGTAATATTTTCATTTATTTTGTGTATGAAATGGGACAATTAACAAATATATAATTGTCGATAATACAATGGCCACGATCGATGAGCCAATTTGAGTTTTTTTTGTTTTGTTTTTTTAATTTTGTAAAATTTTTGCCGTATGTTACAAAGTTCTGGATTTATTGTTAACTGTTTTGTGTTGTGCTCACTACTGTTGACGTTTCATAATTACGAAGATAAGAAATGTGAACGTACTTCGGAAATCGCACTATTTTCTTGTGTTTATCACCATTTTGTCTTACTTTTGCATATTTTTTTGTTTTATACAATAATATTAACAATAATAATATGTATTATGAAGATATTGATATGATGTACCCGGTCAATTTAGTGACAGGTCCACTACTTGAAGATTAAATTCAGAGAAAAACCTAATTTTGAAATTGGGGTGCTTCTTCTGACTTTTAGAGTGTTGAAAATACATGAATGTTGGAAGCATAGTTTAATGATGTCTTATTTTGTTATAGGATCGTAATTGCATTCCCGTGACACCATGAGTTATCAGATGCAGCCTCAACAGGCGAGACCAAGTATGTGCAATGATTTAAAATAAAATGAATAAGTTTTGTTGCTTGAAATTAGACTTAGGGGTTTAATTTTTGTATGTCTTTTATAAAAGAGTTTCAAAGAATTTGTGACATGTTAAAAATTGTTTCTTCTTCAGTGTCTCACGGGAACTATCAAGGGCCTGGTGATTTGCCAATGAGTTCAGCAAAGGATTCAACTTTATTATGGCAACAAAATTCGTATTTAGGAGACTCTGGAATTCATTCTGGAGCAACCACACAGGCACCATCACTAACTGGGAAGGAAGAAGACATGGAATCAGATGGACTAATGTTTGATCTTGATCAAGGCTTCACTCAAGGATTTACTCAAGATCAAGTTGATGGTATGGCTATATTAATATGAACAGACGAAAATTTTTAAATCAAATATTGGTGACTTTATTGCAATTGCTTTTTAAGTATAAGGCTATAAAAAGATTATAACTTTATTTTCGTAAAGTAATTTTGTTGTTATTTAAGATTAGAAAGAAGAAACTTCTCTTTACAAGAGAGATTTATAGTTTCGTGACAAAATATTTTTATCAATCAATAATGCAAAGTGTGAACAAATTACAAGATAAAATGTAGTGATCTTGTTGAATTTTGCAGGTTATGAATTTGATACATTTGTTTGAGCTTCAAGAATACATAATGTAATGTTTTTTTAGTCATGGTTCCTCTTTTGGTTAAAGTATGACTTTTGTATTTCAACAATACAGCATCTTACATTTTCAGTGTATGATTTAATTATGGGATGATGGATTCGTGGAGCTTGCGCTGGGGCATGATGTACAGATTGTGAAATTACAAGATGTACTTAATTATTGTACAACTTCATCTAAACATCGTTTGTTTAAGGAATCCAAAATATAAATCTATAAATTTACTTTAATCCTATGCTTTAAGAAAGAATTCATGCCTTTATAATCGTTGCAACATCCAGGACAGAAATGTAATTGTTGTTACAGATATGGGATTTTCAGAAAACTTTTGTGTTAAAATTAGTGGTACTAATTAGATTTTATTATCCAGAACATTTGCTGCCTGAATTTTGTACTTCAGGTACATTTTTGTGTCAATTTTTTCAATTTCAAAGTTTGTAGGTTCTGAAGATTGTTCACAAAATTTAGAGTTAAAATAAAATTGATGGATCTTTCTTGCAAGCAAGGCTACATTGGATAAGTAAATAATGCAAAAGAGAAGAAACAGAAATTTAAGTGATGATTATTGGTTATCAAAGACCTCTGGCAAGGTGATATGAGGATGATTAAGCAGATATTATGAATCAGGGAACAATATAACTTCTCATTTGTAACCAAAATAAGAAAGAATAGAAGAATTTGTTTTGGCAGATCAGATTCGCTTTGATAAGTAATATATCTGCTTGAAGGTGACTTCATCTAATTTTGTGTATCTGATTTAATAAAACATTTTCAGAAATGAATCAACAATTAAGTCAGACTCGATCTCAGAGAGTTCGAGCTGCTATGTTCCCAGAGACCTTGGAAGAAGGAATTGAAATTCCCTCAACCCAATTCGATCCAGCTCAACCAACTGCAGTTCAAAGGCTTGCTGAACCAAGTCAGATGCTTAAACACGCTGTTGTAAACTTGATTAACTATCAGGTGGGCACTCCCTTTTAAAACTTTGATACCTTAAAAAAAGAACCAGCAAAGTATAATTGGTTTTTAGTTTTAACAAGTTTTTCAATTTTGTTCAGTTAAGGTAGGCCACATTGATGCTCATATAAAAACTTTTAAGTACCATACTTATCCAAATAATTTACTTTTTCTGGTGTTTACCCCTTAAAAATCTGAAGTAGTGTTTTATTTTCACACATTAAGAAATGTGTGTGTGTACAATTTGGTTTTCTACTAATCTCTGAAGAGGTAAACCTCCAAAAAACTTAATTGAAAATCCCAAAATATCTTATTTTATACATTTTAAATTGAGGAATATAACTGCAGGCCAATGGCCTTATAACAGTTTTTTAGACCCATGGACAGAGAATTTTCAAGTTATGAACAATTAATGCATCAGGAAACGGATTCTGAAGCAAGTTGTATGTTATGGACTGCATATGTACTGTCTGATTTAGACAAATTTTGTGATAAAAAGTAAAAGTAATAATATATAAACTCTTGTAGTGTACATTTTGAAGTTGGATAAATTTTAAGAAGCCAATTTCAAGTTATAAAGTCAACTATCTTGGGATATTCGAGTAAATACTTTTAATCATGTTTTTACCCCAATATCAAATTTGTTATTCTTGGTTTGCCAAAGATTTCAAGATTATATTTATGTGGATCTGCATAGTGATTTTATGTGCAAGAATATGGAGTATTCTTGCACATAAATTGCACAGAAATTGTAGTGCATTTAAAATGAAGAAAATTACTCTGGAATTTGATCATAAAGAGACACAAGTGTACTAAGTCAAGTTTTTTTTTTTTTTTTATTCAGTGATAAAGGGCAGATATATTACATTAAATGAAAGAGGTATAGAAATAAGACTATTCATATTTTCTTGAGTGTATTTGTGTGAATGTTTCTCAATAATTGAAATGGTCTTCAAATGTTTACTCTGGACATTGAATAAAAAGTTGAACATTATTATTTATATAATGCATTTGTATTAATACATTTGAATAATATATGCTTATTATGCTGTTATTGCTAACATACTAACATTATATGCTTAAATTGATCTTCAGGAGATTTTTTAAACTTAGCAAATGGCTGTATTTCCTGAACCTGAAGTGAACATTTCAGTTATTTTCCTTCATATGTGATAACCTTCTCAATGTTATGTAATTATAGGATGATGCAGATTTAGCCACTCGTGCCATCCCTGAATTGATAAAGCTCTTAAATGATGAAGATCAGGTGGTTGTATCTCAGGCTGCCATGATGGTACACCAGCTATCCAAGAAAGAAGCATCACGTCATGCAATAATGAATAGTCCTCAGGTCAGTTATTCTTGAATTTGTTTATTCCTTCAATCTTAAAATACAAATGTTGCAAGATATTGGTTGGCTATCTAAGTTATTAATTGTAATACAACCATTACATTTGTATTTTAGATGGTGGCTGCTCTTGTACGTGCCATTTCAAATAGCAATGATTTAGAATCCACCAAAGCTGCTGTTGGCACATTGCATAATTTATCGCATCATCGTCAAGGTTTATTGGCAATATTTAAAAGTGGTGGTATTCCAGCACTTGTGAAGCTTCTGAGGCATGTGTTGACTTTCTTTTTGGATTATTCTCAATGCTGTTTTTTTTATATCTTCTTATTATATTACTTCTATGGATTTACAAATTGGGAAGCAATTAGTGTATAATAAAGGATTTCTTTCAACAGTTCACCAGTAGAATCAGTACTTTTCTATGCTATCACTACTCTGCACAATCTTCTTCTCCATCAAGAAGGCTCCAAAATGGCTGTACGACTTGCTGGAGGTTTACAAAAAATGGTTGCACTTTTGCAACGCAATAATGTTAAATTCTTGGCCATTGTCACAGACTGTCTGCAGATTTTGGCTTATGGTAATCAGGAAAGCAAGCTCATCATTCTTGCATCACAGGGACCTGTTGAACTTGTTCGCATTATGCGATCTTATGATTATGAGAAGTTGTTATGGACCACTTCTCGAGTATTGAAAGGTAAGAAAAAATATGTGAAAAGCTTACTTTACTGAAAACCACATTTAAAAAAATGTATTTACTTTTCTGTGTGTGTGTGTGTATACACACACACACACGTAGTATAGGGAAAGTTATGTAATGATGTGGAAAATAATTTTGAGATTTAAATGGTATTACACGTTATGGGGTCCCCAGATTCCGAAAAACTATTGTTTTTTTTCCTTCTTTTTTTCTTTCAAAACATCTGTCTGTGAACATCACTAGCGTCTAACCATACATAGATTTTTTTTTTTTTCCAAATTGAAGAAACCTCTGTCCATCTGGATTGAGTTGAAACTTTTGAGATTTTTAACAAAATTCTTTAAAATTTGGGGTTTCTTTATGTGAAGCCCTTCTGGACATTTTCAAAATTTTACTCAAAAATAGCTCTAAATTTTTTCTTTAAATTTCTTGTAAGAATAGAGTAAAATCACTTATAAAGGTGGCATAGGTTCTATTGTCTGATTTAACTATGAATTTTCTAAATTTCAAAATTATTTAAGAGTCTTCCTGCAACTGCAAAATTGAAGATAAGAGATTTTTCTTCAAATAAAATTTAGTCTATAGTGAATTTTCATTAAGGTCATGCACATTTTTTGAACATTTTATTAGTTTTTGCGCTATATTGTGAGCAATATGGTGCAATTGAAAAGAAATATAATAGCAAGTTTTTCTCAAAAACTACTCTAAATTTGTGTTTAAACTTTTGGTAGGGTTAGTGCTAAATGTACTCTATAAGATGACATAAATGCCATATTGCTCTATTGTTCTTTTGTTCAAAAATTACAAAAATTTAATTTCTCTACTTGTCTCTCACGTTAATATTTATCTTAGCGGCAATATGTTCTCATCATTGTATTTGAGTATATGTGCTTTAAATAATGGCATATAAAGTTTCTCAAAAACTCAACAGTTTTCTGTGTAAAGAAGCTCAAAATTGTGCATTTTCAGAAGCTCCAAATTTTTTCTTCCAACTTTTTGAATGGATAGTACTAATTGCATTCTTTAATATGACGTGAAGTTCATTTCGGGATATTTTTTGTTTTTTCACACAAATTAATTTTTTGAAAGATCCCTCGTGCTGTGAATATGATCATTTCCAGCAATTTGTAAACGCTATTGTATTAGTGAGTTAAAGTACTTAAAATGAAGTTTCCCGAAAACTTAGTCGAGACAAAAGGAAATAGAAAACTAGCCATTTTCTAGGACTACTAGTTTTTTTGTTTGGTTTTTATTTTTATTTTCTTTATTTTTGCAGTGCTATCAGTTTGCTCAAGTAATAAGCCTGCTATTGTGGAAGCTGGTGGAATGCAAGCATTGGCAATGCATCTGGGTCATCCAAGTCAAAGGCTGGTGCAGAATTGCTTGTGGACTCTGAGAAATTTGTCAGATGCTGGGACAAAAGTGGTATGCAAATTGAGTAAATAATTATAGTTGATAATTGTGGGAAATGTAGATCATGGGATTTGGTTGGTGTGCATTAAGATATTAAAACAGTTTGCCAACATTTTGGAATATTTTTATTCAATCCTTAGAGCTTACTAAAAGATGTAAATATAGTTACAACCTCTCAAAAACAAGTCACAAGTCACAAGACTCTTTAACACAACTTCGCTTGGAGAGGTTACAGTGCGAGGACCCATTCCACTCACATCCACATCAGGCCAAGGCATTATTGCCTAACAAGTGAAGTAAACCCTGAGGATGGAATAAATATATCTCAAAATGTTAGCAAACCATGCTTTTAATTCACCCTGACCAAATCCCATGATCTACATTTACCATTTCTACTTCTTAGTCATGAATCTACATTGGTAGATATTTGTTGTAACTGCCAAAAGAAGTTTGAAAACTATTTTTGAATTTATTTTTTATAACTAGTCCTCTTGGTAAAAGGTTGTGTTAATTTTCCCATAATGTAAAAACAAGGGCTTTCATAATAAAATTTTGTTTTTTTATGGACTACCATTGTTTCCATAAATGACTATTCTTTTCACTGAACTAAAATACTTGAAAAGCAAATTTGCTTCACTATTAATCAAATGTTTAAAAGGAGGCATATTATATTGTCAAATTCTCATGTATCTGTTACAGTTCTTGGCAAATAATAATGGTTAATCTGAAGTGTGTACACACTCATTTAGGAAGTGTTTGGTTATATTGTTTGTGATGAACAGTTAGGTGTAATTTGGCAAACATAACTGCCTCTTAAAATTCTGTAAAAAGATAAAAATGTGTGAAATGTGATTAATTAAAGTTTTACAAATTTGAGTGTTATTCACTTGTGCTAATTTCCAATTGTGACTAAAAGCATATAGGAAAGAGGATAGAGTTTCTACCAGGTGCGTGAAGATTCATGCACCATTCAGAGATGGCCCCACCATTATATGGCTAGTTCTGGAGAAGATTGTGCCGAAGTGTGAACAAGTTGAATCTCTACCTCTTTACCACCACGTCTGATTTCACTTCTTCAGTATTCAGTGGCGTTTTCAAATTATTGGTACTGCTATTGCACAGTGGAAAGATATTCACTGGTATCTATTTAAAAAATAACAGCAATACTGTCACTTGAGAATGTTGCTGCTGAGTATTGAATTGAAATTGGTAGTGAAGGTAAAAATGTGGAGTTATGGGTGTTATGACTTGTGACACTACTTAACAAACATCTGCTGCTGAGTTAGATGTAGAACAGTGGCTCTATCTTTGAATGGTGCAAGTATTAGTGTATATTCTCCATGCCAAGTGTGGAAAATCTTTTTGTGTCTTCTACATCAAACATGTCTTCTAATTTCTCTAAGAACATGAAGTTCAATGATTGGTTAATTTGATTACTCAAACCTTTTCTTGTTCCTTTCAGTTTGAGAAGATAAACTAATAAAAAATCAAGTGTAAATAAAATGTTTAGGGTGTTATTTGCGGTGCACAAGTCTATGAGTAATATTAAAGATTAAATGTTGTGTAGATAATGTAGGGAAATGTGGTCCAAGGCAGGAAACAAAGTGCATCAGAGAAAGCTATCTTTTCTTTTGTTATTGTTAGTTGACAAAAAATAGTGGATTACTTTAACAAGGTTTACAACTATTACTCGTGAATTTTTCTTGAACGATGATCTCGCTTCCCCCTCTCTGGCACAATAAACAGATAAAGGCAAAAGCTTGCAGTGAGCACTGATGACAACATTCCAAACTCATTTTCACTGGCGCAAAGTAGAAACAATTGTCTTCTGAAGACAAGAACTTCTGTCGTTTATTTTCTCCAAAACTCTAAAGAAATGACCAAAGCAGGTACGAATCTTATCGCAGGAGATACCTCGGACTTCTTATAAAGTTAGAACGCAAATTATTGAGAACATTACGAAGGCGTGACTGATTCTCCAGAGATTGGCATGCTTCATAAAATCTAGTGTCTGATTTTTAAACTAATACCCCCACTCTATCTACATTTCTTCAATCTATCTTCGAAGAAAAGTTGCGCAAGAAATACCTGCAGTTCCATCAGTGTACTAGTCTTTGACAGTATTTTGCTATGTGCTGTAGTATGTCATGGAACCTTCTGAGGCAATTAGCTTATGTGAATTTGTTTACTTTGCCATCTGCATTGTTGCTCATTTGGCATGCAAGATTTTGCTTGAAGTTGCAGAGGCTTGCCATCAGCAGTACCAGTCAATGAAATGTGCTACTACTAAGTTTGTGTAGAGATAAAGTTAGGTGCTACAGGAAGCTACAAATGTAACCCACAGTCATGTTCTTGCCTCTCAGTGAATGTTACGACTTATAACATTGAAAAGTTGGTAGATGGCACCAAGTGTTTGGCTGCAACCCATTGAAATGACATTTATATGTGTAGATGGTTATGAAGTATCACATTGTTAGAGAAATTTCTCTGGGTTTTCGGTGAAAATTTATTGCAAATTTTTTTTCTTTTCTTTTTCCTTTAGGACGGCTTGGAAGGTTTATTGCAGAGTCTTGTTCAACTCTTGTCATCAACCGATGTGAATGTAGTGACATGTGCAGCTGGTATTTTGTCAAATTTAACTTGCAACAATCAGCGCAATAAAGTCACTGTTTGCCAAGTTGGTGGAGTGGATGCTCTTGTACGCACAATATGTAATGCTGGAGAGCGTGAGGAAATTACAGAACCTGCTGTCTGTGCTTTACGTCATCTGACATCTCGTCATGTTGAGTCAGAAATGGCACAGAATGGTGTACGTCTCAATTATGGAATGCAGGTTATTGTGAAATTACTGCAAGCACCGTCCCGTTGGCCATTGGTTAAAGCTGTAATTGGACTCATTCGCAACTTAGCTCTCTGTCCAGCAAATCATACTCCATTACGTGATAATGGAGCTATCCATCACCTTGTTCGTCTTCTCATGAGAGCTTTCCAAGATATACAGAGGGTAGGTTCTAGAAAATTCTTTTTTTTCTTAACTTGTGGATTATGTAATGGAATGTAATAAAAATAGTATACTTCATTCTTACATTTTTTCCTCTTTTCCAAATTTTATTCCATTCATATAAACAAATTGATTAACAATGTTTTCTCCAGCAACGTTCTTCAGTGGCTAGTGGTGGAAGCCAACAACCAGGAGCATATGCAGATGGTGTTAGAATGGAAGAGATAGTGGAAGGAACTGTGGGTGCATTGCACATCTTGGCCAGAGAGTCCAATAATCGGGCTATTATCAGAAGTCAAATGGTTATCCCAATCTTTGTGCAGGTATGTTCATATCTTAAAACTCCATTTTCAAAGTAGAACTAAATTTAGTCCAATTGTTTGTTTTTAGGATCTTGGTATTTATGTGGCCTGTTAACACAGCATATGCATGTGCGTGTGTCTATATATTATTATTATTATTATTATTATTATTATTATTATTATTATTATTATTGTACACACTCGCTAGACTAGTACTATATTTTTTGTATATTAATTTCATTTTAATACACTTCCAGTAAAATTTATTAGGAAATATTTGAGTTACAGATGAACCCCTCTCTTACATTTTTCAAGGGACCACAAAAAAATAGTGTAAATTGTGGGAAACTATAAACCTGTTTTGCACATGTAATAAAATACTGAAAATTCAGTCAGTTGTGTGTGTGTGTGTGTGTGTTGTGTGTGTGTGTTGTGTGTGTGTGTGTGTTGTGTGTGTGTGTGTGTGTGTTTTGTGTGTGTGTGTGTGTGTTTTGTGTGTGTGTGTGTGTGTGTTTTGGCTGTAACTTACTTGAGCAGTTTGCTGGCAAAAATTCAATTCTAATATTTCTTAAGTTCATTTGCTTTGAAAGTGCAGAGCACTGATCAACAAATAAAAGAATTCTCTTCCGCACTTTCATTTTCTGATCAAGAGAATACTATTCCTGGCAAGCATATTACTCGCATGTCTTTCACATCATTTGCAATGTCCCGCACTATAGAGTTTCCTATCACTCAGCACTCTTTGCTTTTTGGCTCATTTTGTTGAGTCTCTAGTTTTTCTTTTAGCTGTTTATTTTCCTTCAGTTCTTTTATTTTACTTAATGCAGATTATAGGTCTAACTCGAGTTTAGTCATTCTAGCGGGATCTTTCATTTCCCTATCTTTTTTGCACAGTTCACAAGACCATTTCCCACTATTAATTTGAGTGGTTTTTACGTTGCCGCACCTTTTATGAAACCATTGCTCACACACATCACATTGCGTTCCCGAGTTGAGATTTTTTGCTACAAACACTACACACAATTTTAATAACGTTGTCCACTCCCATGCCAGGTCCTGGATTATGTTCAATACCGCCTATTACCAGTAGCATTGATATCACTGATGTACACAATAGCTCCATGCGTAGGGCTCCGGAAGCCGTAGCAGTACCAGGTTCTCGCGCTGGTGAAAGGTACGCGGTCTGCTGGCAGGTAGAGCGCCCCGCCCAGATCCCCACTGCCGCCCTGCATTGTTTTAAGCCACAAACCATGTTGACGAGCTTCCTGAAGACACGTCCGACCCCGACAACTGCTACCCTGAGTTATGTATCTGCATGGGTGAAAAAGAAATGTATGATTCCTCCACAGTTTATAATGTACTTGATGAAGTTAACAGCTGATTTGTTCAAACATACTCTCGTGACAAAATTTCAATTGTCATAATTGGAACAACAATCCATTATCTCCGCCACTCATCTTTGCCCTCCTACTAGTGAAAAATATTCAGAATCCTTGCTAGAATCATCTTCAAATATCATTTGCAATCGTTGAGCCATAACAACGCTTTGGAGGTAAATGCAAGTTGAAAAATGAGCTTAGTCTGTACTTTACTCGCAGATTTTCTTCGTATAAAGTTACTCTCGAATTTACTCTCGTGTAAGCGATTTACACTTTACAGTACCGGCAGCGTTAAACGACTCTTGACAGTTCTCTCGCCACATGCTGTGATATGTCGTGTGACCTGCTCTGAAACAATGAGCTTGCAAGAATTAGTCTACTTTCTCGCAACTAGTATTTCGCGTTGCCAGAGTGTCAGTCGCTTATACTCTGCCGATACTGTAGTAAAGTTTTGGGGAAACACTCCAAGAAGCTACTCTCAAGTAAACGTGATTTACTTCAGAGCAAACTCTTACTCCTTGTTTGGAGAAACTGGCACTAAAACTAAAACTTTCTTTAAAAGTACCAAACTAAGATACCCAACATTACTATACTAGGCTTCAATACTCACCCCGAAGTTATAGCAAGGAGCACACTACACTTCTAACTGTACCATAGTGACTGAACGAGAGGAAAGGAACCTCTTTCCACCATGAATGAACTCCAATCAAGACCAGAATTTGTAGCAAACGAGAAAAATCTCATTGCAAGGGAGAACATTGTGAGAGAAAGCAAAAATATCATGAACAAAACGGCTTTCATATCATGAACATCTCATATCATGAACAAAATGGTTGCAAAAAGTTCAAACTGTAGGGAAAATGTGATTTTAAAAGTGCAAAAGCAGAGATAATTTGACATTATTCAAAATTGGTGTAAACTTTAAGACAATATTAATTCTGGGTACTTAAAAGCAGGATTGTTCTGTATTAGGTTGCATCAGTATGTATGTATGTATGTATGTATGTATGTATTACTTTGCATGTATGTATAAGGCATTTTAGGGTTGGATTAATAGCAGTGTTCCCAGGCCTGGGCCTGGGGGTAAGAGAGACTTGGTGGTGAGTCTGTCATAGTCCCTTTACCATATCTATCTTGTTTTGGCCTGCTCTGGCTTTTGTCACATAGCTATGTAACTTGAGAGGATTTGCATTAGAAAGCTACAGTTTTATTTTGGACCCCGACCGGGAATCGAACCTGGGCCTGCCTTACAGCGGCAGCACTGTTCATGAGCCACTCAAAGGGCCTTGTATCAGTATATTTCTATATTTTCTATGATATCTTCGGCTATTTGCCTGAAAGCTTGAGTTTCTGGAATATTAAACAGCATATTGCCCATGTCTGGTGCATCATCAATTTGAATTCTTAAACAATTAGCAACACTAATACAAACCATACTAAAAGTATCAAATGACAAAATTTATACTTTATAATTTTTTATTGATATAACAATATATAGTACAAAGAGAGTGGTATGTACCTTTGTTGAAATGCAGTAGTTAACAACCTTAACTCTTCAGCTGTGCTATATGAATAGCTATTTCTAACCTACGAAATTGTTAAAGGAGATTCTCTTGCGTTCTTCCAGCTATTGTTCAATGAAATTGAAAATATCCAGCGTGTTGCTGCTGGGGTCCTTTGCGAGTTGGCTGCTGACAAGGAGGGTGCCGAAATGATTGAACAAGAGGGAGCCACTGCTCCTCTCACAGAGCTGCTTCATTCACGAAATGAAGGTGTTGGTAAGTACTGTTGCTAGCATATTGTTTGCTAGAAGTATCTTGTAAATGTCTTTAATTACATGTTGAATCCTATTGCTATGGCATTTGTACAAAATTGAAAATTTAAGCAACTTCTTGAAAATGTCAATATTTTTAACCCTTTGACTGCCACAGCCATGCCTAGAGCGAGTCAGTGCCGCTCTGTGCTGAGCTTGCCAGATGGGCTGAGCTCAGTGCTGTTAGCTGCTGTAACGTTGAGATTACAGAGCAAATCCATTCATAACCGTATGCAGATGCAGAAAACTTTGAAATGCTTCAACCTCTAAAAGACAAGTAACAAAAGACAAAAGAAAATATGAATTTGGTAGGACCTAACAGGATGTCAAGGACGCCAGCATTTGCAGGATTGTAAAGTAAACAGAAATAGGAAAATGTCAGAGTGACCATAAGTTTTGTGAGGCAGGCTCTAGTGAGAGAGAGGCTTCCCAACCATCCTTAAAGCTCACTGAATGCATACTGAATTTAAGAAACCAACATGTCCTTCCTATATAGAGGACACTGAACCAAACAATAAGCATTCATATTGTACAGAAAAAACCTTGAACTAACTCCTAGAAATGCGAGACCAGCAAACCGGAATGGCATCAAAATGTCAAGTTAGTGTGCTGAACCACACATAGATAGTGCTAAAATCATCTCAGAAATCATTTGGCCTGTGCCAAAGGCATTGTTAGAATGAGAATGGCCTTGTGTCTGTAAATGCATAAAGGCTTCCAATGAAGCCAGACTGCGTGTGCTAGCATGCTCAGAGGCCATCAGGAACAGAAATCTTCTCCGGCAACACATCTAGAGCAGTCAAAGGGTTAAACACTTAGTTCTTATAACTTCCATTGTGTAGAGCCAAATCTTGTGACTTCCAAACTTTATTTGTGTATCCAAATTAGACTAATAAATCTCGGAGGATATGTAATTTCAAAAACTTTATTACCATTTTGTTTTATGGAGGTGTTTCCCATGCATCTCGGATGCAATTGTATCACATACAGGTATAAAATTTCAAAATTATTACAATTGTAAGTTTGACTTTGTTGAAAACGTGTGTAACTTTGATAGTACAATAAAAATAATAATTTATTATGTGGGTTTTCGCCATAGAAAAATTATGTTTTAGTGAAAACGATAAATTCAAATTTGTGAATGGATGGAAGCAATGGAATAACTCATTTGTGCAACAAAAATTAAGAAAATCTTACATATTATGAATACAAATGATCTTAGCAAGAGAAACAGCTCTGGGAAGGGGCTCTTGTAAATCTACTATCTACAAGAGTATCTGTTTCTGAATAACTCGTCCTAATTGTTAACAGGAATTTTTCCATAATGGACAATCCCCAATTGATGTTGTTCAACTTGGAGCCTTGTAACTTTGAAAACAATCTTTTAGTAATGAAAATTAGTGTGTGGAGGGGTCACTTGCTCAACCTCCATGCAATATAAACTAGTGGTGCTGCCAAAGGACATACTTTCTCGGAATGTATTAAAATACTCCACAGTATTGTATTGATTTGAATATTATGTTAAATAATTGATTTGATGTGACGTACGTTTTACAAATAGAACAAGAAATTTGTAAATTTGTTTAAAATTTCAAAATACGAAAATGACATACAGACACTTCTAGTTTATTTCGAATATTAATAGATTGTATATGTGAGTAGAATTGATTCAAATGATTTTTAATAAAGTGTGTGTAATTTTCAATAGTTTTCTCTGGCAACATAATTGTGACTAACTCTTATCCCCGAGCTTGGCTCGAATTAGCCTTTCCCACCAAAAAGCTAGTCCGAACCCGACATTTAACCCCTTCGGCCACCTGGGTTGTACAGAGAATTCACACTTATACAATGGTCATAAGACCCAAAAGACAAGTGATTTGGTAGTTCATATGTTTTACAAATCCAATTAAAAATGCGAAAAATTATTTAAAATTTGAAAATTACATACAGACGCTTCCAGTTTATTTATCTTGATTAATAGTATTTGCAAATGGAATTTCTTCAAATGGTTTTCGATAAAGTTTCTGGAATTATCAATTGTATCGTGCAGTATCACAGGATTGTCACAAATAATAGTTGCCAACCAAGACTTGAACCAGCGAACCTGCCCTGTGAAGACTTGAGGCCTTACCGCCAATTAAACCACCTTGGCTAACCTGTTACTATGTGCGATGAATACTTTTATAATAGTAATAAGTGTATGATAGTTTTAGTTCTAGCATTACGGAACCAAGTAATGAAATAAATGTGAAAAATGTTTGTTTTTCGGGCGACGGAAGCAAACAGCCGAGAAGACAAGAAGAAGAGAGAATTGAAAACGATCTTGGGCGAGAAAGTCTGTGTGAAAGTGCATTTTGAAAAGAAAAAAAATTGTAAATTTCAAGCACTTGGTAAACCGAAGGATACTAACTTGTACAAAAGAAATGTGCACTAACTTTTTTAGAACAGAGACCTAATTTTGTACAACAAGACTTTGTTTGAGCCAAAATCCTCTTATGTTCAATTTTGTAGTTTTAAAAATTTTTCTGAAAAAATGAACTCGCTGAAATCACTGAAAATGTGACCTTCACTGTTCTCTGAACGGTTTCGCACTGTTGAAAAACCAAATTTAATCAGAAAATTAAAAGCAAATTTTTTGAAAATATTCGAGGGGTAAAGTACCCTCCAAAATTAAAATATCGGTTTCAAATTCCAGGACTCTTGACCACAGCCAGATTGATTGCTGATTTATAAAATTTGGAGAAAATCGGAAGAACAATTTGACCATGGATGGACAGACAGACATTTTGGCATCGATTGATTTTTCGGTATCAAGAACCCATAAAACATGGATTCTGGCTACACCTTGTTAGAGGACTTGTTTTCTAAATTTAGCAACAGTATTTATCCACTTCTTTGTTATCAGAGCTCGGCTAGAAGACTTTTTTTGTCGCATATTCACCATTTACTGGCACACAATCACATAACTTTCTCTTCTTACAAAGAATTTGTAAGCCAAGAAAGTAAAAACGAACATGTTAGAAGCATTTTTTAAATTATTGCATTTCAACATTATAATATTACATACTCATTACAACTAATATGTGAAACATTAGTGAAGAAAGAATGTTTTGTTGTAGAATCATTTATGCTGAATTTTCTTAGACCTGTTTTGCTAACGATTTGATCACATTTTTGTAAACTGGTAAATAATGCATCCTAATTATTTAACTCTTCTATCTGTAATTATTTTTAAAATGTGAATGCAGTAATTGTACTTCAGACCTAATAATATGGGATGCTTTTGTAATAATTTAGAACAAATTTGATGCTGTTTCAAAAAGAATTAAAATTGTTTTAATTTTCTGGTTCAGCTACTTATGCTGCAGCTGTATTATTCCGAATGTCAGAAGATAAACCTCAGGATTACAAGAAAAGATTGTCCATGGAACTGACCAATTCCTTATTCCGAGAAGACCAGAATATGTGGAATGGTGGCGATTTGGGCATGGGTCCAGATTTACAGGTATGATACATAGTTTCATTCATCATCATTAAGCCTAGCCTCGTTCAAGTTGGCTGCTCAGGTAATTATCAGTTATCCTCCTACTAACAATCTAACATGACAATTTTAAAAAAATTCCAGAATGAAGCTTCTGTGTATATTCATGAAAGCTAGTTGTGTTGATGCTTTCTGCTGCGCATAATGTTGTATATGTAGGTTGATATGATATATCGTTATAAGGTAATGTTTTATTTGGGATGTATTGTCATGTTTGCCATGGTATTTTGTCTAGTATGTATTTTGGCATAGAAGTCATGATTATTTAATTGAAATGCAATCTAGTTTTCATTTTGCTCGGTTGTTACAAAGAATTGCTCTTTTTATTGCATTGCAAGACACTTGAATACAGGTCTTCTGGTGTTAAATAATGCCTTATCGTTATTCATTTCTGAGTTATTTAGCTGAATGAATGTATATGAAATATATGAATGGTTTTGTTTTTTGGTCTAAATGTACTGGTTCAGTGTTTTCTTTCATTCAACATTTGAAGTTTTACACATTTAAAAACTTGTCACTCATGTACCAACTACCTGACTTGCATGCATCATCTGAATTGGTGCATCAGTGGGCAAGTTTGCAGGATCAAGATTCACGGAACAACTATATTCTACACATGTCATCTCTTCCACCAAATGAGAACCGTGACTGAAGTCGTCTGCCCACAAGTTGTGAGGTAACAAATAAATCAGTGGTACAGCATTGATCTGTTGCTTCAGTACTTCTATTTGCCCTTCATGTGTTTGTATTGATTTACAAGTGAAGAATTTATTTTATTTATTTTTTAGATTTCTCTGCCAACAAATTTTGTTTATTTTTGAGAGAGCAGTTATCTACCCTATGAGAAAGAAACACACACTAGATAGTTATATAAGATTAAACTTTCTTTGACTTTTTAACTTCTACTGTAAGGTTGTGTGAATCATGGTTTGGTAGCTTGAATAGACTCTTCTTTTACTGTTGTTTCCTTACCCAAACTTTTGCAATAACTTCCCACTAATAATCAACCTCGAACTGGCAACTTGACGAGGCTAAGTTTAGAAATTGACAGTAGTGTTCAGTTTTAGCGTTTCTTTAGGATGACCTGGTTTAAAAAGGTAATTTTTCCTATGCTCTTCAGAAGTGCATGCTATATCAGAGTGACTATTGTTTGTTTCATTTTTTCTAGATATTTATTATTATTGTTATTTTTAATTTCAGTGTCAGCAATATTTGGGCATGGATGTGTTAGATGTGAAAATAGTTATACTATTTTAATAGTTGTAGTTTGAGGAAGTTATTGATTTGGTATTTTGCTTGCTGTTGGTGACAGAATATGTACAATTAGTCAGCATACTTTTTATATGCTACTGCACTTGCTATAGTGTTTCACAAAGTTTTTTTTTTCTTTTTTGCAGCATACAAATTAAATTGCAAAATAGTGCTTCCTTATTGGTGTGAGCGAAGGTTGTTCATAGTATGTCAGTTTTACATTCTAAGTATGACATTAATAAAAAAAAATTAATTTCATACTGTGAAATGGCGAGGAAAGTAGACTTGCCTGCTATGATTTATTTATTATTTATTTAATTATTTTTAAATTATTTTTTTTCTCAATCACCTCCCAGTGTAATTTATAATAATATAGTATACAAATGTTGGTTAAAAAGCACATTTGATGTTTTGCCTTACCTTGTAGTATACCATCTCAACATATTTTCATCATTGTTTACTGATGTACTATGAAATAACCCAAGGGGTGAACAAAATTTTATATTTTAGCACGTTCAGTTTTGTTGCATTTGCTACCCCATTGCAGGACATGCTTGGTCCTGACCAGGGCTATGATGGTATGTATGGACAAGGCCCACCTAGTGTTCATAGCAGTCATGGTGGAAGGCCTTATCAGCAACAAGGTAGGACATGAGTCGTTGAGGGAAAATATTTTCTTAACTTTTATAAAAATTTATAACACTTTAAAAGTGAGCTTTAATATACTAAAATTATTAACTGTTCTGTTTTCTCCTAACAATGAAAGGGTGATGTAAGTTCAAGTCCATTATTTCCTTTGTAGTCCACAGATTCAAATAATAATTGGAAATTTTTAGTTGTGTTATTTTGGTTCAAAATTTTCATTATGATTTTTTGTATGCTTCACCACTGCATCTTTAACACAATTGCTTCCATTTTTTTACTAAACCTTGTAGTTTGATTCTGCCTGATTGTGTTTTCAATGTTGCTTGTTAAGTGTTGTACTGGCATGTTTTAGTGTTCTGAGTGATGTAAATATTATGCACTTTGCTCATTTATATTTGAAGGTCAGTCACAATAAGATGTGCAAAAAACACATTGTGCCAGTGTATCTTGATTAAAATTTGTATTTCAATTTTCTTAATCATATAAACAATAAATATGTGTTCTTATTGTGACTAGGCTTGTATATTTTAATTCAAAATTTTCAATGTTTTATTTTTATACAAATAATATATCATCTGGTTGAAAACACGTCTTTGCGTAATATGAGGTAAGACCTAAAGAGCAGTTTTGATGTTTTGCTAGGCAGTTCTATTATGACGGATTTTAAGAATTTAAATTAACAAGCAGTGGAATGAACCATTTCTAAACATCAAAAGAAAATATTGTAGCATGCTTTACTTATTTCTTTAATTACCTTTCTTATGAAGAGATTAACATCATAATGAGTTTTATACAATGTGATGTAGTGTAGAACACTTTTGTCATAGCTTAAAAGTTTTGAAAGTCTTTAGACAATCAAATATCATTGAGTTTTAGTAACCCGCAAGATAGAATGAAATTTCTGTTAATTTTTGGCCAAGTTAACCTAATACAGTTTTCTAAATGTACTTTGTGCTATAATTTGGTATCTGCATTATGTGCGAAATAGCTTTTGATTTGAGTCTTTATATAGCATTTACATAAAAAGATAATGAATAATAGGATATTATGAGGTTTTATAAAGTGTGTATTAGTAATGACATATACTTTCAAGAAAATTGGATACAATCTCTGGTGTTAGTTATCTAAATTTTATCTGCTAATTGAGAACGTTGTTTTATTGTTTTTGTTTCAAATATTCTCCCTAAAAAAGCTTGTTAATAAATGAGGCCATTTCATGACTTACAAAATGGAGTTACCCATTGCTAAATCTTATTTCTTTTTGAAATTAAAATTCTTTACCAAATAAAACAATATAAGAGTATTTTTGTGTATAAACAATGTTGAATCTGACTAAAAATTATCATTTTCATTTTGTGCTTTAGGTACCTAAATTACATAAAATGTGTGTTTTACTTCAATAGGTTATGACACGATACCAATAGACTCAATGCAAGGCCTGGAGATTGGATCACATCATGGCCCTGGTGGAGGTGGTGGTGGTGGTGGCTCCACATATGGTCCAATGGACCCTATGGATATGGCTGGGCCTGATTCAGCAGACCTCAATTTTGACCACTTGGATGAGCTGCCACAACCACCACAGGATAACAACCAGGTTGCTGCCTGGTATGACACAGACCTGTAGTACAGACAAAAACAACTAAGCCCTGCACCTAATTGTTACCCAATTAGATCATCACAGACTTTGTTGTAATAATGCTAGTTATTTTGATTTTGTAGTGGTAGTATTGTGTCATACTACACAAAAGTTCTTTATGGTTTTTCATAATTTTATCAAGTGATTGAAAAAAATATTTAAGAATAATGTGAAAGTAGAGGAAACGAGTATGTAGAAACTCTAATGTAACTTTATGTGTATGTTCGCTGACTGGTCCATTTTGCTTTGATAACAATATCTAAGATGTACCAGGGACCACACTTTCTTAGTTGGGAATAAATATTATTTTTATGTTATTTATAATTTAAAAGAACTTGTTTTATGTTGACTGGTGTGAATGCTCCTTTTGGTTTTATAATTGAAGTCCCTGTTGTGGAAATGGTTTTAGAACTTTTTACCACTACTTTTGAAAGACATAGCATTCTAAGAATTTCAGTATTAACTGCTGATCAGGATTGAACTATTTTAATGACCAGCATTCCAAGGTTGACCTTTGTGCATCAGTCTTGTGTAGAGCTGCAGTGAGAATTCAACATTAAGCATATTTCGTGTGAATTGAGAATGTAGTGTTACTGAGAATATGTATATTTCATACCTCCCAGAGATTTCTCATTTCCTAAAATTGCTGTCTCCTCTGTATTCTGAATGTTGTCAGCAAGGAGTCACAATTGTCTTCTTTAAGTTCCCTCATTCTTAAATTCCTGAATGTTGGTGGAAAGTGTTCTGAATGCAATGTATAGTGTGAACTAATACTAACCTGTGGCTAATATAGAAAAGTGATTACGAGGAAAATTTTTACATGTTCATTTAGTGAAAAAAATTAAATGATTAGCATTCTGAATATTTTGAATTTGTGTTTCTCTTATAGAAGCGTTCTGCATGTGATTTACATTCTTTGAATGTGTATGTGTGCCATGTTATAATATTATTCTGTCACTTTCCACCAATTCAGTTGAATAGATGTAGAAGTAACATCATGTTGCATGCTTAGTAAACTATAATATTAACATTATATTGCACAATTTTTGTCCTGCCTTCTGTCTGTATATTTATGAACTTGATATAAATGCTCCATGCAAAAACAACAGGGTAGAGAATGTTTCTGGACTCATTGTGTACACATTACACTTAAACATTTCATCGATGTACTCTTTTTATAGATGGATATAAAATAAAATTATTGAAGAATAATTACTTTTTCTTATTTAGTATCCTACTGAAGTTTGAATGAAATGTTGATATTAATATTGAATGTGAAATTCAAAGGAAGATGTATTGATGTACTTGAGATATGTAATTGAAGTTTTTGCATTTGATCTTGCATGAAGGAGAAAATAGTAGTTTGCTTCTTATGAATTTCCATTGGATTCTTATCCTCCTACCTTCTCCCAATTATTTTTAAATGTGTTTATAGTTATCTCAGAATAAATGTTACAAACTTCTATAATGCATAGCGAGGTTGAAAATATCCCATTTTGGAAGTGAACACTTCACAGAAAAATTTTGTAGAATGAAGTTACATATGTAACATTTTACCTCTGATTTTTAGGGACACACACTAGTCTATATGTATATGTATACACACACACAACACACAAACATCAACAGACACTCACTCACTCAATACCTACGATATAAGTCGTTTGGGACGCGACCACAGTGTGTGCAGCTGACTCGCTTCCCCGCAGAAAGTGACTGCTACGCAGTTCCAAGTTAAGGACAAGGTTCTGTTCTTCAGCCCTTTTATTAAGACTCAATTTACCGAAAAATACTTGTAGGGAAATTCAATAGATTGCAGCTTTCATGGGAATTTGCATTACTGATAACATCTCAATAAATGGTCCAATTTTCGTTCTGTAAACCGCATTTTTTGATTAAGTTTCTCCTTTCTTGCTGTCGTGGTAGAGAAAGGTATGAAATGCTGCGTGATAAACCAGCAATTTTTGGCAGAAAACTCATTACAATGAAAAAATGGATAAATCCAGATGCCAAATGGAGAACAAAAAATTCGCTCACGCGTGGTGTAGCCAGAATCCATGTTTTGCGAAAAATCCATTGACCATCTGGCCATTTGGTCCATCTGTGAACAACCCTAGTGGCTAAACCATTCAGCCTATTTTCTCCAAAATTGATATTCCCCAATCAATCTGGCTGATGTCATGATCCTTTGAATTTGAAACCGATGTTTTAATTTTAGGGATACTGTACATGAAGCCCCTGGGACATTCAAAAAAATTTCTCCAGAATTTTTGATTACACTTTATTTTTGGATAGTGTGAAGGAAATTTATGGGCGTAGATCTGATGTTTGTTAAAAAGCCTGATTTTTCTGAAATTGAAAAAATTCTAACTTTTTTTGGTGTTTTCCTACAATTACGAAGATAAACATTTTTTCCTTAATGAAATTTGTTCATGAAAAACTTTTAAAAATGTCATGTTCTATTTTTTGAAAACTGTCTTTTGTTTGAAATTGTATCAAAGGCATTTTTTATTGTCTTTAAACCATTTTAATTTCCAGTAGATGTATTTATAAACAGAGTAATATACTTAGTATAGGGAAAGTTGTGTAATGCTGCAGAAAATTTATTTCGAGATTTCAATAGATATTCACATTTTGGGGTCCTCTGATACGAAAAAAGTGATTATTTTCAAAACGTCCGTCCACCTGTGAACACCACTGGTGCCTAAACCAGGCGTAGGATTTTTTCCAAATTGAAATCTATTGGCTCGAAACAAGGCTTTGAGATTTTGAAAAACTTTCTTTAAAATTTAATTACCTGGGACATTTTCAAAATTTTCTCAAAAACTGCTCCATTTTTTTTTTGGGTAGTGCTAAATGCACTCTTTAATATGGCATAAAGTTTATTTCAAGGTAAATTTTTGTTGTTTTTTTTAAATTATGCAAATGTAATTTTTTTTAAATCTCTCTCATGCCGTTAATAAGCACATTTCTGGTAATTTGTAAACTATTGTATTTGTGAGTTAATGTGCTCAAATGTCTTCAAACGAAGTTTTTCAAAAACTCAAAAATTAAATGTGAAAAAGAGCTTCAAATTTCAAATTAAGTGTCGCTTAAGCGCCATTTTCTTAAAAACGGCTGCAAGTTTTTCAAAGAAAATGGCCATTTAGGGTTATGTTATACTCTTCTTTAATATTCTCAAAATAATATTTCCGTTTTACTTTTAGGAAACCAAAAAAGGAAATTTCAAAAAAATGTACTTTGGCGGCGATAGATAGCTGCTGGCAAGAATATGTAGCAGGCTCGTATGGCTAGCCAAGGCCAAAGGAAGTAGAAAACTGAAGTGAGAAGGTCTGTGCCGTTCTGTTGCACCACTAGTTTATTAAAAACACAATTTTTTGATTAAATTGGGACCTTTCAAAAACATTTTCAATTAAGGGCATGTTAAATTTTTCGAAAATGAGTATTTTTTAGTAATTTGGTGTTGGCAGTTGTCATTTAGCAATGGCAGGTAGTTGAATGCTCAGTGAGTTGGAGCTTTTGTTATACGTTTTAAAATTCATCTTTTAGAAATTATTTAAAACTTTTTTATTGCATCCTTTAGTAGTTAAATGTGAAAATGAAATAGATGATTTTGCTTTGCATGATGGGAATGAAGAAAAATGCAAGGAAAAACCGAGTAATTTTGATGAATATAAAAATATATTTAATTATATTTTTCTATCCATTTTCATATTCTTGCTAGCGCTCAAGAATGGTAATTGGCAAAATTTTTATCTCATACGAATTAGATGTCATTGTTGATTGTTGTATCCCATTGTAACGCCGCACTGATAAGGGGATAATGACGACTGCCTTTCGTTCGCGTTAACATAAACTAATAATTTTATTTACAGCTAAAATACGCATCGTGCATTGTTGGTATATTTGTGTAGGAAACGTGTATACATTCACTACGTGAATACACTGAATTCAATGGCGAAAGCAGTTTTCGTTTAAGCGTTTGATACATATATATTATATATATATATATAATATTATATATATATATATATAATATACATAAATATATATATAACATATACATATATACATAATATATATATATATATATATATATATAATATAATATATATATTATATATTATATATAATGATACGTGGTAGGAACTTTCTGGCTGTGAATTTGATTTCAGCACGCTAAAACAATACCGCCCCAGAACATTCATATTTCGGAGGCAGCATTTCATTGCAGGTTAGTGTAATTCTTTCTGGTATTTCTAGAAATAATAAATACGACATGATAAGTTGGAATGTTGGTGATATTTACACAAACAATTCAATTTTATTTTCGAAATCAGTTTTAAAAACTGCATTTTCAAGATAGATACATATTGATACTACAGTTACAGAGGATATGAGAAAATTTGCTTTTGTTATAGCATCACTAATTTGATTTGGGGGAGAAAATAATATTGAGATGAGGATAGTAACGAGAGCATGAACTGAACTGAGGAATGCCGTCCCTTAAGTTCTAGGGCCAGCTGATGAGCTGCTCCCCGCCGCTCCCTACCGAGCACCCTGAGTGTGTGCCACGCGTCATGGAGGTGGGGGGTCATATTTAGCCAAATTTCACTTTACGTCGTCCGATTTGGACGGTTGAAACGTCATTGGATTCAGGAAGCATATCGCCATCGCGTTCGAAGACAGCATTTTTTAAATTCTTCCCGAAAATACGAAAAGCAGTTTGAAAAATGTGTTTTGGATACTTTGTTTTTAAAAAAAGGGCTTCACAGCGTAAATTCTGTAACAAAAGCAAGTCAAATGCCGTTTACAGATCGAAAATCGGTCCATTTGTTCAAATGTTTTTAGTAATGTTAGTTTTAGTGCTGCCATATAGTGACGTCAAATTGAACTAGTGTAGGTACATTTAGCCTTAACATAAAACATCCTTGAGTCTGTCTGAAGTATTTTATGCTAATAAATATTAAAAGTAATTTGGCGTGCATATTTTCGTAATGTTTTCCAGAAATTCCTCCATTTTGTTTCCTCCTGTTTGCCCCACAAGGTTTTTTCCTTCTTGTTAACTCGCGCGTGAACGAATCGCATCACAAACTACATTTCAGCCCCAATATGCTTTCGATGCGATCATTATGTGGTAATTACTATGAGCTGAGTTGAGTAAAATTACAAAACGTAATTGTAGTGGCGGCCGGTGCCTCAAAGGACTGGAGATTGCACCTCCATCGAATGCCGGGAATGTAACTTCCAAAACTGAAAATAAAAAATATAATAAAAATGTAAGCAATTGAAATTATTTAAAACTAAGTAAAGTGAAAGTCTGTATTGAATCATTAATTATATAATTTTTTGCGTCGTGACCGAGTCAGGTATATTATACACCTCCCGCGCACACGGTTCTGGCTTTGATTTCCACTGGACACTTGTGTTCGACACGAGCTCATTGCAACAAGCACTATTGCTTCGACACGTTCGGAGCCGCCTTACATTTTTATTGACTTAATTGATAAGCATTTGATTTTCTTGATTTTCTTTGCCAACGACACAAACTAATTACAAAATGCAATGAGATAAAGTAAAGGAGTTCAATCCAAGAGAGGATGCTAGCTCCTAGAAGAAATCCAGCAGCTGCACCAACAGACACTGCAAGTGAGAGAACATTGTTAATATAAGCGTCTATATGGATAGAGATAAACATTCTACAGAGATCTCAACCAATTTACAACTAGTAACTCAAATGTTTTCATCTGAAAATAAGCACTGTTTCATTGGCATACAGTTTACATCGTTTTCCAAAATTATTCGTTCAAGCATGATGAGAATACAATTACCTAAAATGGTGGATTTTTTTAGAAATGAAATTTATTTCATTTTCTATAGAATTTTAGGCATCACAGGATCAAAATGTAAACGAATGGTGCTACAGAATGGCACAGATTTTCTCGTACTAATTAGTTTTCTAATTTATTTTGTCGGGGCTAGCTATTTGTTCTTGCCTCTTACCAGCTGTCGTCCATCGCCGCCCAAATTAAATTAAAAAAAGCTCGATTTTTCGCTTTCCTAATAATAGAAAAAAATATTTCTTTTCAACTCTTATAAAAGAGTAAAACCTCGTCCTATAAGGAAATTTTCGATAGTAAAAGTTCGTGCCGTTTTTCAGAAAATGCCATTTAGGCGTTTCTGACAATGAAAAATTTGAAGCTCTTTTTCACAAATCTTTTGAGGTTTTGAAAAACTTTATTGGAAGTAATTTGTAGCACTTAAACTCACAAATGCAATGAAGTATACAAATAGGTGGAAACATGCATTTAAAAGGCCCGAGAGATATTTTAAAAAATACATTTGTCTAATT